TAGTTTGCTCCAAATCCAGACTGCTGTCTCTCTCTGGTACTCCATAAGCTTCAGCTTCTTGCATAGAGTAGGAATCCATTGTGTCTGTGTGTTTAGAGTTGTGATGTGATTGCTAGGCAAGTCAGATCAGTAATGACTTCAACAAGAATCAAAACAGTATTTATACTGTCATTGAGGAAACTAATGTCACTTCAAAGAAACAGTGACATCAGACAGTTTGAAACATCAAGAGCAAACCTCAAACAGTGATTTCAAACTTTGACATCAGACAGTTTAAAACATCAAATACAGTTATAACATTGACATATGACAGTTTAAAACATCAAGAGCAAATCTCAAACAATGATTTTAAACATTGACATCAGACAGTTTAAAACATCAAATACATTGTACAGTGATAGAAATTACTATAAACTTTGACATCAAGCAGTTTATTACACTCACTTCAAACATTGTCATCAGACAGTTTAAAACATCAAATACAGTGATAGAAATTACTATAAACTTTGACATCAAGCAGTTTATTACACTCACTTCAAATATTGACATCAGACAGTTCAAAACAAAGATAGTTCTCATGATATGATTATAAACTTCAGTTGGTTAAGTGTGGACAAAAATTTTTTTGAAAAAATTGCTATATGTACCTGCACATGTTATTTTCTAGTACAAAATAAAGTATGAATGCATGTGTGAATTTCCTTGCTTCCTTTTCAGGAAAGTATCATTACATTGCAGTCCTGCCAACCTTTTATGAAAAATTTGTTGGAGATTTTTTTTAAAAAAGCGGCACTTTTACAGGAGATTTTTCTGGTAGTTTTTGCTGTAGTTTTCAATAAAATGCTGTAGTTTTAGGTGGATTTTTGAAAAATGGTAGTTTTACGGTAGATTTTGTAAAAACGGTAGTTTTTGCGGAATCATATTATCTCCAGTTTTTCTTCTAAAAAAGCAGTAGTTTTTACAGTTAATTTTCTATAAAGTGGTAGTTTTTACAGTAGATTTTTGAAAAAATGGTAATTTTTGCGGGATTTTTTTTAAATAACTGGAGTTTTGCGGTAGATTATGAAAAAACAGATTTAGATCTGAAAAACACTCTTGTCTAAGTTTTTTTATGCTAAATACTTTGATCCTTACCATAATTAGATGAGGCAATCTGTTTATATCCACCATTTTTGAGCATTTCCGACAAGTTAAAGCAACTGAAACCTTGTAAATCAAGATGTTTGCTGAGTAAGCACTTTCAAATTATCCATGTGCATAAAATGTAGTTCTTCCATCCCTATTTGAACGATGTTGCCGATTTTTAGGTGAATGTGTGACATTAAGCATAAGGTTTAGTTAAATGCAATTAGAAAACAAAACAATATGATGAAAATATCAAGTAATAAGGTAGATGATTGAATTTTTTTTACAAATGATTTTATGGGAGATTTCAGCAAAACTATGAGAGATTTTATGAAAAAAATTGCGGGAGATTTTAGTACAGGAGTCTTAACGAAGGAAAATGGTAGTTATTTTTTTACGGAAACAAAAAATTTACAGTAGATTTCCGTAAAAAAATGGAAGGTTGGCAGGTATGCATTATCTTTTATTAGCATATCTGGTAAAAGGTCAATGGTAACTCCAGGAAATGCTGATATTTCATGCTCTCTTATTTTCCAAATTGTTTTTCTCAAAGTTTCTGGACAACACTGGAGCCTACATTCACCTGTTTCCAGGTTTACTAAAAGAAGACAGTGTAATGATACTTTCCTGAAAAAAGCAAGGAAATTAACACATGCCTTCATACTATATTTTGTACCAGAAAATGACATGTGCAGGTATAGCAATGTTTTTGTGCACCATTACCTAAGACTGTTGGCTTAATATTATATTCTTGTATTTTCTCATGAACCTTTGAGAAGAATCACGTGATCAAAATCTTATCACATTACTTGATATTCAAAAAGTCATACAACGTTTCAAATGTTATCAATGAAAAAATGTCACAAAACGACAATGGCAGCCTTCCATATGCTTTCATAGACAGTACAATTGAAGACAATCCGATGCTCGGATTCCCAAATAACTTCATTGAGCTAATGAGTGAATATTTTCGCATGGTAACTTGGAATGATGTTCAGAGAGAAAAATCAATTTCTCAAAAGGTTGTTGCTGGATTCGTCAGCTCTCCAACACACTTATCTCTTCAGAACAACCTGGATATGTTTTCAAATTTAAAAGTTATTGCAAACTTAGGTGTAGGTGTGGATCATTTAAAGATACCACTATACACAGAGAAGGGTATAAAGGTTGCAAACACACCTGATGTACTTGGACCATGTGTTGCGGATATGGGATTCATGCTTATTCTTGCGACTGCACGAAATCTCAAAACTGGTAATTATACGTCAGAATTTTAGCATAGCATTCACTTGCATTGAAACAAAGTCATTAAACAGATGGTGGGCCATCGACCCCTCCCACTTCAAAACAATATTAATCTGTTATGATGCCTGTGGTTTGTAAAATCTGTCATTCATCTTTACTTTCCATTACATCAGCAGCCTCAGATACCATGGCCACTTCATCCTGAAATGAAGTCACGATTTACTGTGATAATCCTCATAGTGAAACTCAGGGTTCTCCACAGGATTTTTTCTCAAGTGGGTGCAAAATTCTCATTTTCACAATTGAGGCCTAAATAGGTTACAATATGCCAATTTTCATGATTTTTCTCATTTTCAAGTGGGTGCAAATGGATTTTTAGGTGGGTGCAAACCTGTTTTTTCTAAAATCACAGATAGGTGCTGCGCCCACTTGCTTTAATACTGGGGAGATCATTGAAATGTTTTATACATGTAAACTCATAATTGAATTTTCACGTGACTATGACCTATAGAGGATATGACCTTGCCCATACAGGATATGATCGAAACGGTGACCTACAGATTTACAAAATTTTGAAATACAAATCTTTAAGTCTGCTTAACATACATGGCCTATGGTTGGCATTTAAGGTTATCCTTTTTTGTTTTGAATTCAAACAATGTTAGATAAAACAACTTACATCTCATACACACTGATGTTAAGTGTAATGTTAATATATGTGTCAATCTGAGATAAGGTATCAGAAAATGTGCCAAGTACTGAAGTCATCTCAACTGATCATTTGATAATGGTTTGTGGTACATTTGATGACCTTTGAAGCAAAGTATGTATGTCCTCTTAAAAAGTATATTTTATTTATTTTTTAATTTTCACAGTTGATGGTGTTTTTCTGGCTGTTTTTTCCATATGTTATCCATAAAATAAGCAGCCCAACAAGTGAAAATGTTATGCTGTACATATGTATATACTGCAAAATAGGGATGTCAACTGTCCCGCAATTTGCGTATTTGTCACGCATTTGCTGAAGAATTTGAAGTCACGCCAGTTATTTTTGCATGACAGAAAATGTCACGCAAATACGCATTTTACCTGGTAATTAGCAAGCAAAAATATTTCTGTAGAAAAATTTCTAAAAAAGATCGTCTACACAGCAAAAATATGAACGCGGGAAAAAAAATTACGCATATTGTTCGGACTTTTCATACCTACCCCCCCCCCCCCCCGTTGATGGATGTTTGAAACGCAAGCTTAGCTAGCGCGAAAATTTGAGGTGTTCAAAATTTGGCAAGGTGTAATAAAATTTAAACCAAGGTGTTCAAAATTTGGATCAAGGTGTTCAGATTTGGACCAAGGTGTTCACATTTTGAGGGGAGGTGTTCAACATTTCCAAGTCACTCATGTTAGGTGTTCCCAAGTTGACAGGCTTGAGGGATACATGAGAAAGCACAAAGCACAATATTGAAAAACAGGTTTTCAATAATCTTTCAACAATGCCATCCACCATGTAGATGTCAGAAAGTTACATTGTTTTAGCATATGGTTATTCATTCATCTAAATATACCAAAGTCATGTATATATTCAAAATTTAACTTCTCTTTTGTAAGATGTTGGTAGTCCTGAAAAGGACTGTTTGGTGTGCTGTGCTGATGCTACTGCTCTGTTCCTCACGCAGCATAAAAGGAAAATTGGAGAAATCCTGAATCCAAAACATGTTGATTGCTGCTTCAAACTTGCATCTCATCATCTTCATTTTCAAAGAAGGAATACTCAGACTCATCATCAGAATCCTGGGTCTTCATCTGGTCAACTTTACTCTTGAGGTCCTCAACTACAGCAGCCATCTCAGTTGCATAGTGGTAAAACATCATTTTCATGTTGCTGAGTGTTGATAACTGTAGACGTAAGGAGTAGCGATGAGCCTCTCTTTGGTGTACCTTGGCTCGCTGGTAACGAATTTCCACCATCTTGGCTCTGTCATCAATCAGTAGCAGCTGTTCACATGCTCTTGTAAATTTTCTATACGCAACATAGAGTTGTTCAGTAGTTTGCTCCAAATCATGGCTGTTGTCTCTCTCTAGCACTACATAAGCTTCAGATTCTTGCATAGAATAGGAATCCATTGTGTTTGCGTCTTAGAGTTGTGATGTGATTGCTAGGCAAGTCAGATCAATAATGACTTGAACAAGAATTGAAACAGTATTTATACTGCTCTAGAGGAAACTAATGTCACTTAAAGAAACATTGACATCAGACAATCAGACAGTTTAATACAGTCATTTCAAACAGCCAGTTACTGTTTAAAACATCAAGAGCAAACCCCAAAATGATTTTAAACATTGACATCAGACAGTTTATTACTTCAAACATTGGCATCAGTCAGTTTAAAACACCAAAAGCAAACCTCAAACAATGATTTCAAACTTTGACATTAATGACAGTTTAAAATTAGAAAAACACACAAAATTTTAGGAAATATAATTTTTTTTGAATACACGTAAATAACATTACAATTCTAGAAGTTATAAAAATGAATCATATGTAAAATGACTGCCAGAAGTCCAGCCATGAAATATAAACTGGTGAAATATAAATAATATGTCATATTTTAAATGTATTTCAATTTTTCCAGCTATGGCAGAAGCCTGTGCCCCCTCCCTCCCTAACAATAGCTTTAACGGAAATGCCCTAGGTGTAGATGTATGTGAGGCTACCTTGGGAATTATTGGAATGGGAAGTATAGGATATAAAATTGCCCAACGTGCTAAAGGATTTGATATGAAGATATTGTACTACAACAGAAGTAGAAGGTTAGTGAAAATAGCCAAAATATAACAAAGTATTATATCACATATGATTATGTATTATATGTTATATTCTTTGAAGTTTTTTGAAAATTTATCAGTACAGTACAAGCAATTTACATAGAAATCATTTAAAACATTTTTTAAAATCATTGCTCCCAACCGATGCCGGCCGGCTATGAGACACAATTTCAAAAGTGGAATGATAGTTAAACAATGAGATGTGTATATTGAGTTCATTGTTCCTTTCTTTCTACGAAAGGGAGACATCTTCCCAATGATGATGTAAGGGCCCTCTTGTTGGCCCATTGTACCTCCTAATCATATCATATTAATACTGGGTCTAAAATAGTATCACCAATTGAATATATAATGACCTGATGTTTGATGAAGTTATCTAACATTATCTTGTGATCTCGACATTAGCTCCAGAGGATAACTATTTTGTCTTCATTTAAGCAGCTATTAAAGGAAGTATAGCCTGAGCAAGGGAGATATGAACTGAGAAAACATCACTGACCTTGTAAGACTAAATTTACCTTTTTCAGACCTGAAGAAATAGAAAACTCAGTTGGTGCTACATTTGTTCCTAAACTACATGACTTGCTCCCTCAGTGTGACTTTGTGGTTGTGATATGTCCCCTAAGTGCAGAGACAAAAGGGCTGATAGGAGCAGAAGAGTTCAACCTGATGAAACCCACTGCTACCATTGTGAACATTGCTAGGGGTAGGTGTCATTCATTGTAGTTCAACCTGATGAAACCCACTGCTACCACTGTGAACATTGCTAGGGGTAGGTGTCATTCATTGTAGTTCAACCTGATGAAACCCACTGCTACCACTGTGAACGTTGCTAGGGGTAGGTGTCATTCATTGTAGTTCAACCTGATGAAACCCACTGCTACCATTGTGAATATTGCTAGGGGTAGGTGTCATTCATTATACTGTAGTTCAACCTGATGATCGAAACCCACTGCTACCATTGTGAATATTGCTAGGGGTAGGTGTCATTCATTGTAGTTCAACCTGATGAAACCCACTGCTACCACTGTGAACATTGCTAGGGGTAGGTGTCATTCATTATTGTTCAACCTGATGAAACCCACTGCTACCATTGTGAACATTGCTAGGGGTAGGTCATTCATTGTAGTTCAACCTGATGAAACCCACTGCTACCACTGTGAACATTGCTAGGGGTAGGTGTTTTTTGTTTTTTTTTTTCATTTCTCATTTATTCCAAATATAACATAAAATACATTACAATATTATTGCCTACGTTTTTCAACATTGTCGGCAATATACAAAACATATAAAAATGGAAACAATGAAAATACAATAGATAAGGTACATAATATTAATGGCAGGGAATGTTAGAGGCTTTCAGGGGGGGGGGGGTTAATCTAAAATATCAAGAGCCTGGCAGATGTAATGGCTAACTATATGAATAATTTGTTCATTATCAGTTACAGTGAGATTTCTGTCTCCAAATAATAAAAATTGAATTTTTTCATGAGAGTTTAAATTTTGGAAACGATTGAAAAATACTAAGGTTTTTAGTCCTGCTAGGAGAGTGCATCTTTCTTGTTGCAGCAGAGGGCAGTTTAATAAAAAGTGATGCGTTGTTTGTTGTATGTCACCACATACGCAGAAAGGGTCATTTACTGTCACAAAGTTATGGGAATATAAATGTGCTTTTAGAATCAGTCCAGCTCTAAATCTATTGAACAGAATTTCAATTTTCCTTGGCATTGTCATATTCATTTTAGTAGTGGATACTCTGGAGTCAGGGCTCATATTTCCTCTTACTAACCTTTTAAATCTAGATATTGGTTGGCCTTTCCTGTCCTCATATGGTATGTCATCCCACAGGGTCATAGCCCTGATAATGGTTGACTTTTTGAACGAATTACTGATTGGAAAGGGTATTCTATAATGCCTTGGTTGTCTTAGGGGCCGATTTGGAATATTCTCGTATGAACTAACTAAATCACAAATGAAAGGAGGGAAACAATGGTATCTAGCCTTGAAAGCAAAAATTTTAAGATGTTCTTCTCTCCTGGAAGCTAACGTTTTCCAGTTGAGTAATGATAAAACTTTCGATGTGTTTGAACCGTGTATTGCTCCTGACACATGGCAAGCTGCTTGATAATGAAGTCTATCCAATGTTAATAGTTTTGAAGTTGATGCCTTATCATATATTGTATCACAGTAGTCGAAATGTGGTAGTATAAATGAATTATATATATTCACTAGGTATTTACTGTTTAGCATTTTAGTTAACTTTTTCAATGGTCTCATGAGAGAGATTACTCTCTCTATGAGTTGGTCAACATGTGAATTAAAGTTTAGATTTTGATCAAGTACTAAGCCCAGGTGTTTGTGTTTGGTGCAACTAGGAATCACATCTCCTCCTAGTTTTAAAGGGACTGGCTCTTGTAATAGTCTTCTATTTCCTGATACAAAGGTTAAGTCAGCACTTTTTTGTGCCTTAAAAGTCATCTTCCAAGTCATGGCCCAATTTGCCAAAATGTCAAGATCTCTTTGAAGTGGTTGGTGAATGTTTAAAATCTGATCAAAACTGTCATGTGCACTATAAATAGATGTATCATCAGCAAAAATAAATGTTTTGGATAGGAGATCATCTGGTAAGTCATTAATGTAAATAAGAAATAGGAGGGGCCCGAGGACTGATCCTTGAGGTACACCTGCATTGATTTTATAGTTATTTATATTGTGATCATTGTTATTATTATTGTTATTTGTTCCATTATTAAGATTTCCATAATTTTCAGAAGACCAATCAGATAAGCTGTTGTTGACTTTGGCTCAAACCCTTCTGTCTTTTAAATATGATGTCATTAGCTGTACAAAATTGAGATTACAACCATAGCCTTTAAGTTTCTGTATAAGTAATCTATGCGGGACTAAATCAAAAGCGGCTGTTAAATCTAAAAAAGCTGAGCGGACATATTTATTATTATCTATATTTTCATGGATATTGTGAACAATGTTAATTAACTGGTTAACGGTGCTGTGCTTCGGGAGAAAACCACTCTGGAATTTGTATAAAAGGTTGTGTTGAAGCAGATGAGCCAAAAGATGTTTGTGAATGATGGTTTCAAGAACTTTCGAAAGGTTACTTAAGAGTGTCACCGGTCTATAGTTGCTGACAAGTTCCCTGTCTCCTTTTTTATAAATAGGAACAATAATACCTTCTTTCCATATATCAGGGAAAGTGTTCTCTTCTAATATCTTATTAAATAGTTTACTGGTTGGTAAAGCAAGAGATCTGGCACATAGTTTTAACATTTTGTTATTAATTTCATCAGGCCCTTGAGATTTAGTTGTGTCAAGGTCATGTAAAAGTTCAAAGACTTCTTCAGTCGTGGTTCTAAAATTTTGCATAGTATGTTGTGTTCTAAGTTGGAAGGGAGGAGTGTAGTCATCATTTATGTTAATTATGTTTTTTCCAACAAAGTATTTCATGAGAGCATTGGCTTTTTCATAGCTGGTACAGGCTGAAGTATTTAAAGTGGGATTTCTCAATACTGGTATTGTTGACACTTGATTTTTTCCAAGAAGTTCTTTTATCAATGACCAATAATCTACAGAATTTCTACTAACATATTCAATCTTATTAACTAGTTTTCTTTCATAATCAGATTTAGCTTCTTCTATTAACTGCTTTACTAATTGATTTTGTGTTTTGAACTTGTCTCTATAGAATGGGTCATTAGTTGATTTAAATTTGTGGTGGATTTTATTTCTTTTGTATATTTCTTTTTTAATGTCATTTGTAAACCATGGCTGATCATCAAATCTAGAAGAAATTATCTTATTTGGAATATTATCTTTCATGATTTGAAACAATGTTTTAATATAATTGTTAGTTGCATTATTTACAGTATCTGTATCAATAAAGTTCCAATTGATTTCTGATATCTTATTATTAATTAGTTCCAGATTAATATCATAATACCATATTGTCTTTTTAATTGATGGTTCCCTGGGAATTTTTAGTCTAAATTTTGTAACTATTGAACAATGATCTGAATTTCCAACAGGTGGATCCACATTGAAAGTTAGGAGGTGCTCAGAATCAGATATAAGTAGATCAATGCAGGATTTAGAATTATTAGTTATTCGTGTCGGTTCATTAATAAGTTGTTTAAGACCTAAGTCAATTAAGATATTACTAAGTTCATATCCTGCAAGATTATTATTATCATCCTCATACCAGATATCATTACGAGCATTGAAGTCTCCGTTTATAATCATTCCATCACTGGGTTTAGTTAATACCTGTCCAAAGTTATCTTTCAATGAGTTAAAATATTGTCTTGTTTCATGAGCAGACATAGAGGGGGAACGGTAGAAGAACCCATACATTAATGACTTATGATTAGCCTTTATCTCAATCCAGCAGTTTGACATTTCATCAGACATATATTCATCACAGATTTTAGATTCAATTGTGTCATGTGTCCAAAGAATCAGTCCCCGTCCATTGTTTGCTGAAAATTTTGGTTTGCCATAGCCTAACACATTAAAGTTCTTGGAGTTTAAATCATTTGTGGAGATGTTTCCTGTTTCGCAAATTGCCATAATATGAAACTGTTCATTTTTAGCATACTGTTTAAGGAATTCTAATCTACCCATTGAATCAGCTTTGATACTATTTATGTTACAAAAAAGTATTTTTAGATCATCAACCGGTCCAGGATTGATTTCCACATCTCCACATAACATTAACAGAATTCTACTTATGTGACTTGGGTTATGTATGAGCAGTACCGAACCTGGGAGGCAACCTATTGACAGTACCAGTAGAAACAATTTAATAACGACTAGTGAAAAATTAGAATGCTGATGCATGACATATGATAGTACATAAAAACATGTCATTGATACCAGACAAAAATAAAATACTTGTTGGGCAAATATTATAATAAAAGACAAGAATGTAAAAACCAGTGTTCCATGTTTGGCAATGTTAAACAATAACCCTCCACCAATTAGTAAGAGGGTTAAGAGAGTACAAATTCTGAAATATAAGCCTGGTATATCACTGGAAGAGTCTGGTGCATTGATCATTTTCAGTTTATGGTAATTAAACAACCCTACTGCTATTCTCCATATTTCAATACAAATTGGCATTAGCCAATTCCAACCCTAGCAGGATTGTAACCTACATTTATCATTAGAACACATGTTAACTTACAATACAATAAAATTCGCCCCCACGGAAAGCCTGTAACACAAAAAAGCTCAAGTTCACAAGTCATGGTATAGGCCATGAACATGGCAGTCATTGTAAATATGATCATGTTTGAGATCATACTTTCAATGTGACTGTCTGTGAATAAGGGCTCTCTGGAAAGTGTTATAAAATCATATCTCATGTGCCATTATAAGTTTTTTTTATTCAATGTCCAAAACCCTAAATGGGTTTGACATTGTCTAGTCTTTACCCAATCATTATTTAACCATACTGTTTTAAAGATGTATATGTCAGCCTATAATTTTATTGCACAAATACTTCAAAAAAAGAACTCAAATTTTTGTTTTGAAATAATTCCTCAGTGATAGCATAATAACATTGCATTTAGGACTGTGTATGTGATTATACTACACTAAGATTGGATACCCTGAGATTAGATTATTATTAGGTGTAACACAACTCTGGATGAGAGTTGGGATAGCTTCATTCTTAGCAGAACACCCTGAATTAAAAGACATATTGGACTATTGCCTAAGGGTCATTAGTTATTAGTAAATACAAACATTGTTCACTTTACATGACCTTTTACAAGTTTCCACAGTTAGAGTGTGAGGTCATTTAGAAAATTGATAGCAGGGTATTGTGATTTAGAGTACTGCAAAACAAAACTTGTAAACCACTGACCACACTCAATGCAATTCAACTGTGAATGTTTTCCAATTCCCCAATATATACAGATTTAGCATATACGCATAATTATCCATGATAGAGTACGTTATGCTATGCATAAAAATACAAGTCGAGATTGACATATGTGTAGCATTATGCACAAATCGAAGAAAATATAGGCTAGATTCATGTTGGTGTCATTCATTGTAGTTCAACCTGATGAAACCCACTGCTACCACTGTGAACATTGCTAGGGGTAGGTGTCATTCATTGTAGTTCAACCTGATGAAACCCACTGCTACCACTGTGAACGTTGCTAGGGGTAGGTGTCATTCATTGTAGTTCAACCTGATGAAACCCACTGCTACCATTGTGAATATTGCAAGGGGTAGGTGATTCATTATAGTTCAACTTGATGAAACCCATTGCTACCATTGCGAACATTGCTAGGGGTAGGTCATTCATTGTAGTTCAACCTGATGAAACCCACTGCTACCATTGTGAACATTGCTAGGGGTAGGTGTCATTCATTGTAGTTCAACCTGATGAAACCCACTGCTACCATTGTGAACATTGCTAGGGGTAGGTGTCATTCATTGGAGTTAACCTGATGAAACCCACTGCTACCATTGTGAACATTGCTAGAGGTAGGTCATTTATTGTAGTTCAACCTGATGAAACCCACTGCTACCACTGTGAACGTTGCTAGGGGTAGGTGTCATTCATTGTAGTTCAACCTGATGAAACCCACTGCTACCATTGTGAATATTGCTAGGGGTAGGTATCATTCATTGGAGTTAACCTGATGAAACCCACTGCTACCATTGTGAACATTGCTAGGGGTAGGTGTCATTCATTGTAGTTCAACCTGATGAAACCCACTGCTACCATTGTGAACATTGCTAGGGGTAGGTGTCATTCATTGGAGTTAACCTGATGAAACCCACTGCTACCATTGTGAACATTGCTAGAGGTAGGTCATTTATTGTAGTTCAACCTGATGAAACCCACTGCTACCACTGTGAACGTTGCTAGGGGTAGGTGTCATTCATTGTAGTTCAACCTGATGAAACCCACTGCTACCATTGTGAACATTGCTAGAGGTAGGTCATTTATTGTAGTTCAACCTGATGAAACCCACTGCTACCATTGTGAACATTGCTAGGGGTAGGTCATTCATTGTAGTTCTACCTGATGAAACTCACTGCTACCATTGTGAACATTGCTAGGGGTAGGTGATTCATTATAGTTCAACTTGATGAAACCCATTGCTACCATTGCGGACATTGCTAGGGGTAGGTCATTCATTGTAATTCAGCCTGGTGAAACCCATTGCTACCATTGTGAACATTGCTAGAGGTAGGTCATTTATTGTATTAAACTACAGAATTGAATTAGATTTTATATCCCACCAAGAATTAGAGGCAATTTCTTCAAGAATTTTTACAATGATTCTACAAGCATTTAAATATGCCTATGCATTTCAAATTATTGGAATGCTATAAAGCTATTTGGTTCATAGAACTATAAATAGAATGTGTTCTCATTTCTTTAAAATCTTGCAAATGCAAAAACCTCGAAATGTGAACACCTCTAATCGAACGCTTTTACCTGGTCCTAATGGTGTTTGGAATAGACATGTTTTATTGTACTCATTTTATGAAGTGAGGAAGTGAAAATGTTTCTAAGGGAAATCATTGTGATCATTGGAAAAATTGTAAATAAGCATTTAAAGTTCAATCAAACACAAATTTTGCAATAGACTTTATTATTAGTGCATGGACATCAGAGAATACACTTCAAGATAACAGATTTCAATGGAGAGAAGTATTTACATCTGCTTAATATGTCAAGGTCTACTGAATATTGTCCCAGAAATTAGTGAAACTGCAATGTTTATTCATTTCTATCATTGACAGCCATTTTTATTTTATACCCTATTATTTGCTTTAGTGATTATTATCTTGAAATGTGATCTAAGAAGGCATATATTATTTTCAGGGGGTGTGATTGATACAGAAGCTTTAGTAGCAGCATTAAAAGAAAAAAAGATACGTGGAGCAGGGCTTGATGTAACTGATCCCGAACCTCTCCCCAGGGGCCATGTATTATTTGATTTCCCAAATGTAATTGTGACACCCCATCATGCATCAGCGACTGTCCAAACAAGAATGAAAATGGCGAGGCTGATGTTGGCAAATGTACTGGCATGTTTAGAAGGGAGGCCGATGCCAACCCCTGTCAATTAATGGATAATGAATTAAGCCTAGGATGAAGAAAAAATCCTAGATTACGCTCACTGTAATGACGTGCAATTCATACAATTAAGTTTTTAATGCAATGCCAAATAATGTTGCAGGGTATTTTTCATAACAGAAGTATTGATTTATATTTTTGAAGAACACGTGCCAACCCCAGTGAACTTAAAGTGGAAAAATAACTGGTGGTATTATGAATAATTTCAGGTATTAACTATGTACATATATATGTGTTCATGTGTCTTAGAGGTGGTTAGAACTAAATGTTTTGCGCACACTGTATCACTAAAAGGGAGAATAGACCAATTACTGAATCCAATAAATCATATCACCTATTGTTTATGATCTCATTTTTACAATTCAGGGCAGATACAGGATGAGCCTTTTGCTCAGTTTCAAAGACTTCTTCTAATTTTGTTTATGAATTATAACATTGCTGCCTGCATGTTGTAAAATCACAAAACTTTAAATATCTGTTCTTATATTGGACAGATGATATTTTCTTTTACTGAACATATTTTAATTTGTATAAATATCAGATACCTAAGGGCAATATGAAAATTGAACGACTAAAACTGATGAATATTCAAGTTTAAGGGAACTTTCTTATACCCTGCCATGTTATCTGCCCTGAATTAGCCACCTGGTGGTGATACTGGTAACTACCTACTCGCATCTGGGTTATTGTAGCAAAAATATAAGTAAGTAATAAACAATAATGCTCAATTGAATTGTTTTAAAATATAAATATTTTATTGATTTGCAATACCATATTTAATAATCTGCAAAATGTTAAACAATGAAATAAATATATAAGATCTATTTTAATATCTGAAATGTATCTTTGTTGTACAACATATATACACACTTTTTTCACGTTTTCACAAAATTGATTCAGACCCAGTGAACTAATACTACCTAGTGCAGAACTGGTTGACCATTTACAATATAAATTAATTAACCAGAATGCAGAGTACAGCAAAACCCGTCTTAGTGATAACTTCTCTCGATAGACACCTGTAAACCAGTGAACACCAGCGAACACTTGACAATGGCGAACACAATTCGAACATATTCCATTGCCTTGAAACAACCAGTGCAGTGAACAATGAACATTTTATGGGTCCAGGTTCAAAGGTGTTCACTATTTATAGGTTTTACTTATTTTATCTCAAGTGAGATTTATCATGGACATTTTGATGTAGCCCTAAAAAAGGCAGAAATGTATGATTTTGTCTGCCCACTTCTAGTCTAAAGCAGATCAGTTCCTCACTGAAAACGAATCAAGAACATCTAGAGGTAAATTCTCTTTTGCATAATAATAGCTTTGGTGCATGAACACAAATTGAAGGACTTAAGATATTTAATTCATTTATGTAAGCCTAAAGTACAGTAAATGTGTAACATAACATGTACAGTAAAACCTGTTAAGTTGAACACTTTTGTAAGGTGTGCCAAAATTACTTAATGTTAAATGAAGTAGAACATCTCCCAAGTGAAACACTTTAGACAGGTTTTACTGTAGTTGTAAATAATAAAGGGAGGTTATCATATACATTTTTAAGAGAACTTGTATGTGAATGTTTAGAATTATACTCTATTTACCTAACCCCTAGAAATGCATAAAATACTCTGTTTGTCTAATTGTATTGTTTAGTATATTTTTGCAAGTACCTTATTAACATCTAACAGTCATCCAATAAACCATTCATAAGGAACAGACACATAAAAACAAATAACATAATCATTACTAATAAGCTGAATGGGTTGCTCATGAACACCAAATGCAATAATATAAAGGTTTAATGAAAATGGTTGTAATTAGGTCTATGAAAAAACGTTTGAAAGGGGGACAGTAATCCATTGGGGTTATAAAATAACATGTTCGTGTACAAGTTCTCTTAAAAACCTGTAGCTTAACTTCTCTAATATTTTTAATGACACTTTTAACAGGAGTTACGCATACACTGCACTGATGAAGATCACCCAATAGTAAGCTTTTACAATCATATGACAACAAGATATTCAAATCAAAGTGGAGATTCAGTGAGAAAACACAAAGAAGTCTTCACCTTGCAGCCAGGAACCACAACAGGCCTGTAGCCAGCTTTTGTCAAGGGGGTTCACTTTTTATAATTGCAAGGGAGGTTCACTTTTTAAAATTATGGTCAGAAATGGCCAAAATCACTTAAAAAGTGCTTAGAATGGTAAAAAACTGCATGATTTTCAGAGAATCAAACCCCCTTGGCTACAGGTCTGCATAAGTTGGGAATTCTGCAGAAATTTTGTTGGAAGTCAGTTCTGAACTTCCAGTATTTATTTAAAAATATTTCATATCAAAGCGTCAGAGCGATTGCTCTAGCACTTAATCGAGAAATAGGACCAACTAAGAACCACTTTAGGGACTATCAAGATATGGACGGAATTCATATCAGCTGACGGTACACTCCTGACATGTTTATAACCAAATGTGGCAATTTTGTAGTAATATTCAGTCACACAATAATACATGAAGTATGTCAAAGATAATGATGTGCAACCAGGATTTGCAGCTACTAGGAAAATTGCCGTGGTCTTTTTTAAAAGAGACGATTCTTCAAGCTAAATGTAATATCTCCAAGCCTCTTATTTCAACACATGTTTTTCAATATACAGCAATTTTAAAATTTACGAGTATAAACAATTCAAAATACTAAATAACAATATCTACCACTGAGGGAAAATACACAATGCATCAAATTCTTAGCAGAATGAGATCAAGCCAAATAATATATTAATAGCACACCCCTTAAAGACTATTGATAAGGACATGCCTTCAGAAAATAGATATCGTTGAAAAAGGGTGCAAAAACTATGAATGGCCCAAACTGCTAAGAATTTAGCTTTAACATTCAGGGATTTCATTAGAATTTCAGGCAAAATTATTGGAAACTTAATTTCAACTTGGAAATAGTTGCTAAGTTCCTGTTGTCCATCTGCTGCTAATGCAACCCCTGAATATTAAAACATTTTCTAACATATGAACACACATGACCTTTTATTTTACAACAGAGTTTAGAGTAGCTCTTTTACCGTAATAGTTCACATACTGTACTCCTGGTTTATTTGGAGAGTGTTAATTTCGCAAATTTTGAGAAATCACAATTTTGCTACTATTAAATTTTGCGAATTTCACGATTTTACCACAGTCGCCAATTGCATAAATAAAATCACACAAAAACTCCTGGGAGTACAGTATATGCAACCATGTAATTGCTAGCTGCAGTTATTTTTAATCAAATATCACCAAATACACGAATGCTACTAAATGCAATAATTTAAATCGTACATGACAGGAACGTCTGCCAAATTACCCATAATCCTCTACTGCAATGATTCAATGTTTGCCACAGATCCACTTGAGATCGCTAAGATTGTTCAAGTTTACTATATCGTTCACAGACTTCCATTTACACTGACACGCATATGCTCTATAACCTGGAAAAATCAATGGGGTCATGAATTTTTTTTTCAGTTATTAACAATATCTCTCTATTAATTTAGCAGATTTTGCAAAAAAATCTGAAAATGATGCTTGTATAAAATTTATAAATGATGGCCATTTTTCAAATGGATGGCTTACAGGCAAGCTGTCAAACCAAGTGTAATGCTTCAAAGCATTTACATGTACACATGAAATGTCAACAAAATTAGCCACTTCTTTCCCTGTTTTAGCAAAAAAGTGAAATACATCTGAAAATGACCAGCATTTTTCAAAATGACTGATGTACAATATATTGCCAAATTGTCATGAGACGGTATGTTATGTTTCCAACAATTTATATTACAAAATCACTCCATCACTTTTTAATTTACATAAAAACTGTAAAATAGCATGTAATAGCCACCATTTTGCACAATGGCCACCTTGTCTTTTGAAAGTTTGGATTTTGTGCAAAATCAACATCGAAAATCATTTTTTGCATTTAAGACATATTTATATTACAAAATTATAAGTTGAAACAAAAACACCTTAAAATAAACACTAAAATTGTCAAAACCAGCTATTGAGCAGAACTTGTTCTCACACAGGGCATAGATGAGTATAAAAAATAAATAATACAAGGCCAACAGTATTTGAGTTATTGCCTGGATGGATGTATGGACAAATGTTTGGACAGATAAAGGCATTCTCTGCATCCCCCGTTTAATTAGATAATAAGAATGCAAGACCTACCTTTCTTTTGCACAAGTTTAGCACTAAGTTTCTTCAAATCAGGTACATTATTCCTGAGAAATAAATAATCGACGGAAGAATGCCATTGGTAGTTGTCATAATTGACAATCTTGAAGTCGCAGTCTGTACAGCGCAACCTGTCACATGTCCTGGAAATACGGTAGTTCGGAAAACTTATTATGGCTGTGATTTTAGTACTTAATGAAACAAATCTCAAGTGTCCCACTTCAATATGAGAAATCTCCGCTATCCTTGAGTAATATGAGCTGAAGTTATCCTAGTATCAAGGTAAGACAATGCTCTTCATATGATATCAAATAGATTTCGTTAAAAATGCCTTAAAAGAAGGTCATATTACTTTAAAGGGCTTTGCATTTATGGGTACTTTAAACAGTTACAGTACATCTACAAGGCATCAACATGCAAAATGTCACCACCTGCCATTCGCTACAGACACTGACCACCAGCCACCAACTCCCGAACACAATCCATAAAAAAATTGGGAGACTATAACAATATGTCATCACTTCTGCTGGTGACATAAAACACGAGTGAGAATCTTTTGAGGTTGCCAATTGGACTGCAAATTAGAAATCATAAAATATAAAGCATCATAAAGTTTTTCACAATTCATCCTATAGAGAACACGTTGACATACCTCTGATTTATTGTATTAGCTATGCCCTGCGCATTGTTGCTTCCTCCTAGATATATTGGATAGCATCTACAAAAGCAAAAGTACAATCATATATTTTGTCATATGATAATATCAACCTAGAAAGTACAAATAGTAGAGCAAACTAGGGTGATATAAATGACCACCTTTGAACTAAGGTTCCAATACACCATTGGAAAGCTGGTCAGTTTTAAGAATCTGACTTCCATTTGAATTTTTAGTGAATGCAAAATTGGATATTAACACTTTCATCCCCAAGGGGTCAATTATTAAATTTATGAAAACAAATGTCCAAATGACCATGTAGCCACAAACCTTGTTGTTATGGATTATTTTTAGGTTTACAATAACTAATTCAATGTCAAATTATACTTTGGAGAATATTTAAAAGTTTGAACCCAGATAGGCTGAGATAGGGGTCATTAAGTGCAGTGACCCCATAATGCTACATGCATCAGAATTTTTGTTATCAGTAGAAATGAGATTTGATATTTGAAAATAATATGTGCTTTAATGTATAATTTGGGTATTTAGGAATGTACAATACAAATTACTAATCTTCTCCTGAGAATATTTAGATTGCAGCAAACGTGAATTGACTTAACATGAGAACATGCACCTTTGACTTAACATTGTGTATCATCATATCCCTTTGACCTTCATATCATCTTTTTAAATGTACCCTTATAAGTTAATTGATTCCAAATGAGCATTACCTGCAATCTAAACAAGTGGTATGGATGATGCGCTACATATCAAGGTTAAGTGGAATCCTTCAAGCCAAATATTTGACCTTTGACCTCTATTGCCAAACCTATTTTCTCATACAGCATCTTTTTATTTCACTTATATGTAGAATTCCATCTCAAGCATTCATAATATCTAATATGGAGTGATTCCAATGAATAGTTTCTTAAACATAACAGTCCATGCATTCTGAAACCATATATTTTCACATACAACCACCCTCATATAAACTAAGGAGAGAAGCAGTCACACAACTGATCATGGGGAGTGACACAAATATATCCTTTATGCAATTAAAAGTACATTCTCCTGTTTTATTTGAAAAATCTATGAAAAATTATGATGTAAAAAAGAAACTTGACTTCGTTTTCATGGATGTTTAGGCAGTAATTTCAAAGAGAAAATATTTGCTAACCACAAAGTGTAAATGTCATAATTATAACTGTTGTCTTACCGAAACCACAAACCTTGTTGTAATGGATAATTAGATTGAAAATAGAAACCGATTGTCAAAATATATTTTGATTGAAAAAGCATAACTGATTTCTTAAAGGACAATTCTTGGTTTGGAGAACGAAGTTCATCAATCTAAATGAGCATTATCCCTGCTTCGGACAAATTTGATTTTTTTACATAATATAGATTTGAATGTCTACTTTTGAACAGTCATAATTTAAGTTGGGTAATATTTCTAGATTTTTCGCGAAAAAATATTAGCACAGTACACTTATGAAATTTTTTCCCCAAATCGAGACTTGTATTTTATTGAATCGGTCAAATTGAACGTTATCCCTGCTTCAGACCAATTTGTAAATTTTACATCTTGTAGATTTAAATGTCCTCTTTTGAATATTTATAGTTTAATTTGGGTAATATTTCTATATTTTTCATTAAAAAATTATTAGCCCAGGAGACTGTTCTCCAAACCGAGAATCGTCCTTTACCCCTTGGTGATGAAAGGGTAAATATCAAATTTTGCATTCAGCCATAATTCGAATGGAGGCTAGATTCTTAAAGCTGACACTCTCAGCTTTCCAACGGTGTATTGAAACCTTAGTGCAGAAGAGGTAATTTAAAAATCACTAAGGAGAGCACTTGGAGGCTCTATTTTGCTCAAGTAAAGGTATTGCAAAAAGGGCAATGAATGCTTGTCCTTGAAATCGGTAAGTACTGTCTTGCAATTTACCTTACATGCCCAAAACCTAATCAGATCTTAGCACTAATCTGATCTTATATTTCAAGTGAGTTTCTTGCTATTTTGATGACAAGATTTCTACCCACCACTTGCACAATATTGCAGTATTCAAATGTACAACTCTATGAATGATCCAGGCTTATACAATATAGCAGTATTCAAATGTATGTAACTCTATCAATGATCCAGGCTTATACAATATAGCAGTATTCAAATGTATGTAACTATCAATGATCCAGGCTTATACAATATAGCAGTATTCAAATGTATGTAACTCTATCAATGATCCAGGCTTATACAATATTGCAGTATTCAAATGTTTGTAACTCTATCAATGATCCAGGCTTATACAATATTGCAGTATTCAAATGTTTGTAACTCTATCAATGATCCAGGCTTATACAATATTGCAGTATTCAAATGTATGTAACTCTATCAATGATCCAGGCTTATACAATATTGCAGTATTCAAATGTTTGTAACTCTATCAATGATCCAGGCTTATACAATCTAGCAGTATTCAAATGTATGTAACTCTATCAATGATCCAGGCTTATACAATCTAGCAGTATTCAAATGTATGTAACTCTATCAATGATCCAGGCTTATACAATATTGCAGTATTCAAATGTATGTAACTCTATCAATGATCCAGGCTTATACAATATTGCAGTATTCAAATGTATGTAACTCTATCAATGATCCAGGCTTATACAATATTGCAGTATTCAAATGTATGTAACTCTATGAATGATCCAGGCTTATACAATATTGCAGTATTCAAATGTATGTAACTCTATCAATGATCCAGGCTTATACAATATAGCAGTATTCAAATGTATGTAACTCTATCAATGATCCAGGCTTATACAATATAGCAGTATTCAAATGTATGTAACTCTATCAATGATCCAGGCTTATACAATATTGCAGTATTCAAATGTATGTAACTCTATCAATGATCCAGGCTTATACAATATTGCAGTATTCAAATGTTTGTAACTCTATCAATGATCCAGGCTTATACAATATTGCAGTATTCAAATGTATGTAACTCTATCAATGATCCAGGCTTATACAATATTGCAGTATTCAAATGTTTGTAACTCTATCAATGATCCAGGCTTATACAATCTAGCAGTATTCAAATGTATGTAACTCTATCAATGATCCAGGCTTATACAATATAGCAGTATTCAAATGTATGTAACTCTATCAATGATCCAGGCTTATACAATATTGCAGTATTCAAATGTATGTAACTCTATCAATGATCCAGGCTTATACAATATTGCAGTATTTAAATGTATGTAACTCTATCAATGATCCAGGCTTATACAATATTGCAGTATTCAAATGTTTGTAACTCTATCAATGATCCAGGCTTATACAATATAGCAGTATTCAAATGTATGTAACTCTATCAATGATCCAGGCTTATACAATATAGCAGTATTCAAATGTATCTAACTCTATCAATGATCCAGGCTTATACAATATTGCAGTATTCAAATGTATGTAACTCTATCAATGATCCAGGCTTATACAATATTGCAGTATTCAAATGTATGTAACTCTATCAATGATCCAGGCTTATACAATATAGCAGTATTCAAATGTATGTAACTCTATCAATGATCCAGGCTTATACAATATAGCAGTATTCAAATGTATGTAACTATCAATGATCCAGGCTTATACAATATAGCAGTATTCAAATGTATGTAACTCTATCAATGATCCAGGCTTATACAATATTGCAGTATTCAAATGTTTGTAACTCTATCAATGATCCAGGCTTATACAATATAGCAATATTCAAATGTATGAAACTCTATCAATGATCCAGGCTTATACAATATAGCAATATTCAAATGTATGTAACTCTATCAATGATCCAGACTTATACAATATAGCAGTATTCAAATGTATGTAACTCTATCAATGATCCAGGCTTATACAATCTAGCAGTATTCAAATGTATGTAACTCTATCAATGATCCAGGCTTATGCAATATTGCAGTATTCAAATGTACAACTCTATCAATGATCCAGGCTTATACAATCTAGCAGTATTCAAATGTTTGTAACTCTATCAATGATCCAGGCTTATACAATATTGCAGTATTCAAATGTACAACTCTATCAATGATCCAGGCTTATACAATATTGCAGTATTCAAATGTATGTAACTCTATCAATGATCCAGGCTTATACAATATAGCAGTATTCAATCGTATGTAACTCTATCAATGATCCAGGCTTATGCAATATTGCAGTATTCAAATGTACAACTCTATCAATGATCCAGGCTTATACAATATTGCAGTATTCAAATGTTTGTAACTCTATCAATGATCCAGGCTTATACAATATTGCAGTATTCAAATGTTTGTAACTCTATCAATGATCCAGGCTTATACAATATTGCAGTATTCAAATGTACAACTCTATCAATGATCCAGGCTTATACAATATTGCAGTATTCAAATGTACAACTCTATCAATGATCCAGGCTTATACAATATTGCAGTATTCAAATGTACAACTCTATCAATGATCCAGGCTTATACAATATTGCAGTATTCAAATGTATGTAACTCTATCAATGATCCAGGCTTATACAATATAGCAGTATTCAAATGTATGTAACTCTATCAATGATCCAGGCTTAAACAATATTGCAGTATTCAAATGTACAACTCTATCAATGATCCAGGCTTATACAATATAGCAGTATTCAAATGTATGTAACTCTATCAATGATCCAGGCTTAAACAATATTGCAGTATTCAAATGTACAACTCTATCAATGATCCAGGCTTATACAATATTGCAGTATTCAAATGTATGTAACTCTATCAATGATCCAGGCTTATACAATATTGCAGTATTCAAATGTATGTAACTCTATCAATGATCCAGGCTTATACAATATAGCAGTATTCAAATGTACAACTCTATCAATGATCCAGGCTTATACAATATAGCAGTATAGGTGCAGAAGAAATGTTCAACTTACTTTTTCTGAGCAGATGTGACTATTCTCTCATGTTTCTCTGTATCTTTGACATTGTTGCCTAGTGTCTCCTGAAATCAGATATATTGCATCTTTTAAAATTGTTTCATTTGTAAACAAACTCCGTGTGAGCACACAATACGAAAATAATAAATTCCAGGGGATTTAGCTTAAATTTGGGGTTTTTGGCGAAGATGTAATTTGGTTAAATTTTCACAAATCGCCAAATGTGTCAAAATAAGTAGGCATCAAATTAACCAAAGTTACAGATTATCTTTTGTAATTGTTCAAAAACATGAATATATTTGGATGTTGTTTTTCGTCATGTACTGTAGCTTTCATTTTTGTGTTTTTGTATTCATTATATATTCCGTTGCATGTTCTGATCAGACAATATTGGTGATCATGAACAAAAGCAAGAGCATATGGTTTATTTGCATATTCTGTATTGATTAGATGCTTATTGTTCCGTATATTGAACATTTGAACATCTGACATTTAAGAAGTCCTAGTCCAATATCTTAAATTAGTATTCTCTCTTTGCTCAGGAATTTTATACAGCCTTCTATCTTATATGACCTCACTGATTTTCCAGTATCTATAATTGCAATTCATAATCTTGACTATATGCTTGATTTGTGTATTTCCTCTGATCAACTCTTTTCTTATTCTATTTTCCATTTAAAACATGAAAATTCTGCTGCTTTTCTCGAGGGTTGGAAGGTAAGTGTATTAAGATAAACATGCAATCTTAGTCTCTATGATTAAAAATAACTATACCTCCACGATCTAATCAATTAAAGGACTTTAAAAAGGGTTTATATATCTTCACTGTTTAGTAGAAGGCAATGTGAATACTAAAGATGGTGTTTAGCAATTTAGAAAACCTTTGGCACCTCTAGCAAGGCACATGACATGAACGAGATCATCAAATAGACATTGTATTTGGGGGAAATTCAATGGTCGGTTTCCCTGAAATGGTGATCTATCGAAAAACCTTCAAAAAGGCCACCAGAAAACAAGATGGCCGTGCAAAACTTGATCAGCCTCATGATATTGCCTTATTCTATGGCATAGCGTCATATACGCATAAAACGCCATGGCATACTCTCAATATTTAGAGAAAAGTTGATTTTTTATATTGAATTGTCCCACACTTTAAAAATACTGGATATTCTGAAAAATGGCCAATAATTTACTTTAATTTCATTAATCCACTTAGTCGGAATTTCGTAACGCCCGGAACGCTTCAAATGCAATCTCATTTTCAAATTTTCTTGGGGAGAGAAACACTTATCACTTATCAGACACCAGCACACTCTACATAGATTCGCACACACTTTAAGTCATTTGGTCTTGGAACAATGAGAAGTATTCCATTTATAGAGGTGTCCTACTTCTACAGGTGTTTCACTTTACAGGTTTCACTGTAAATAGTTTCATTTCTTCTATAGGTTTAAAATCTTTTTAACATCTCAATGTTATTATTGTTATGCCATTGATGTCTGCTATGTTATGAATGGTATGAATGAAAGGTGTGATTGTTGAACAAGTACAATAGCCTCTTATTCTTATTTTGAAAATATTTATCATTTCTATTGATTTTATCATTTAAACAGGCATACACACCCAAAAGGGTGTTTCCTGAAATACTGGATAAATACAAATCTATCAATGAAATATCTAGTAATTGTATAGTAAAACCTGTAATATCTGAACACCTGAACACCTTTAAAAGTGAACACCTTTTCTTGATCCCAATTTTATTATCTCCCATTGACTCTCACGTGTGAAGAAACCTTGAAATGTAAACATCTGTTAATCCAAATGCTTTTGACTAGTCCAGGTTTATTAGAAGAAATTTTCGTTTTTGATCACAATATTTGCATGTAATATTTAACTTATTTCAACCATCAAATTCCTCCATTTATTGGTACTTCCGGGCCACTTTCGGGCCAGTCAAACGGGGAATCCCCTTTTAAATCTAACCGCCATCTTGAAAAGTGATGGAATCTCTCTCGATGAAAAAGAAAAATGTTCCCATTCTGCTGATAAACCCAGATAAATTCAATTACATAATTTCAATAAATTCAACTACACGAAAAGAATGCTAAAATACCCAGGAATCTATTGAAGCAGGTATCATAAGTGGAAGAGGCGTAGAAAATTCTCCCATGTTGTAATCATACAGGCAAAAGATTGAGACGTTCTCAGGACTATAGTCTTGGCACGGGATAAATCCAGGTAGAATTTGGATTAAATACAAAAGTTGTAAATTAACAATTGGCTTCAAATCATTGTTTAGCTGACAGTAGACAAATTTATGATATTCTTGGAATCATAAGTTAATTATATTGTCAAGAATGAACCCCAGAGTAGAAGTTACAGGCCCATTTATCGTGTGCTGCTTATTCAGTATAAACTCTTCGTGGCGTGACTCGAAAGAGGCTCATGTCTGGAAAGTAATCTGTTCCAAGCTATACCAGCTGGGTTCCTATATAGATTCACCATTTAATGACGACAGAATCTATCTCGCTACTCCAGATTCATTCGATTTCATGATTATAAAGCAACCGAATGTACAATACATATGATTAATATGTAGTTATACCACAAATCTTACAAGTCGTAAACAAATAGGATATGGTTTACATTGCCTAATTAAAGATTAAATCAAACAACTAAAGCCTGGAGACAAAGTATTTGAAATCAAGATATATTGAATGCATCATGTGATGAATTCTCATGGATCTATATATTATTCAATATCATAAAATCTGAGAATAAAACAAGGCATTAACATGATATAATCTCGTCTGCTGATTGCTCACACGTAAAAATTCAAATATAAGTCCTTTAGTTTGTTGCCACGGTAACCAAAATTGCAAAATCTTGATGGTTATAACTCTGTCACCACCTTTTAATGGTGACATAATTGTAGCAAATGTATTTGAATGGCAAATTTCATTTAATTGTACTAACTGAACACTGATAACCTGGTGATTTTTGAAATGGTTGGGCAAATTGCAATGGTATAAGATTCAGAATTAATGCAGTTCGCAATTTTCAAGGGGATTGTTCTTAACCTGTAAACACATGTCCTTCACATCATCGCACCTGAAGCAAATATTGCTTCATTAAACCATCATTAATATTCTATCTTACATCAATATCTTCATAATTCTTTACTTATATGATATTATTATGAGATTATTTCAAAGGAGCCTAATATCTAACAGCAAACCAAAACCGTCAAAAAGATTTCTGGTAGTATATTACAAATGGATAAATTTACATGCACCTCGCCTCCCAATGTAAAAATATGAAAGGGAACCATGACTGACTTCAAGAAATGAGCTAACCCATTCTCTCCATAGGGCGCCCTTAGAAAGTGGGAGCATCACTTTAGTGGTTGTTTAGTTGTTTGTTTTCAATACCCCAAAGTCACGGCATTTGGTCAAATGTATACAGCACCTTGATTGTCTAGGTAACCAAGGTGAGGTAACATACCCCCTATAGCCCCCTCTAGATTATGTTAAACTAATTTCAATAAAATTCAAAATCAAACCTACCAAAGGTTCAGGAACATCACATATATCGTTGATCATATCATCAAGATCAGAGTCACGATTTTTCTTGTTGCTGAAATAAGTAAAAAAGCTTCGATTAACACACTGAGACAATTTAAAATTTTGACTACATTTTTGATATTATGTTTTTCATATCAGTTTTTGGCCAATGGGTCTCAAATGAGATGAACAGGCAGAGCAGAGGGTGAGCCAAAAAAGTACCCCAAACAAATGTTAATATTACTAAGTCATTCAGCATGTGTTTAACGGTTAAGGACACATTTGACGCAATTAAACCTTGTCCAATGCTCTCATTCTACCAAGTTTAATTGATTTTATGGCCAGTTCATGAAACTTGCTCAAAATGTCAGTCTTGTCTCTGGTACCCCCATAAATGTGGGGTTGATTTTTAAAATCACCCCTACAACTACTCTTGTATTGAAATCTTGGGGCTGAAAATCGTTGTCAGTATAGTTGACACAAAACTAAAATCTATTTAAATAACCACTAATCCAGATTTCAAGTAGTTGTAGGGTCGACGTGACTTGAAAATCAACCCCATTTATGGGGTTAGTCTCTGCAGGCAAACTTGAACATATCAATTATAGTTATTATAATGTGTCACAGATATCTTGTGTAATGGCTCTCATCTTCCTTCTTATCTATTATATTATCTTTGAAATAACCCAAAAGATAAAAGTCTGAGGTCAAGTTCAGCATTTGGAGCATGTTTTTTTATGGACATAAACTCGTCAACCATTGGGAATAGACCAAAGAAACTTAGGAGAATGAAAGAACAGTGAACAAGGTTAGATTGTGCCAAATATGATTTTAAATTACCCATGCTGGATCACTAATGATTTGTCTGGGATAGCTTTTTGGCTCACCCTGTTCGATGTACAGTGGGGTTTGGGTAAAAAGGCATTGGCCGTTGGGCATGGGGTCTACAGGATACTCAAAAATGGTGTGGGGTGTTGTATCATGGGGTTGTATTTACCAGTATAGTGTGCCTTTGGGGGTTTATAGGGTACCATTATTAATATTTGGCCAATTCACACATAGCTAGGCAGGGTGTGTCAAATTTCAGCCAATCAGAACACAAATAGTAACAGGCCCTAGCTCGGGTAGGCAACCATTTTCCCAGCATTACTTTCAAGGAATAAGCCGCAAAATGTTGATATTGAATTAATTTAAATATCTCTGTTTTCTCTGTGTACGGAATGAAAGATGAAATTTTGGATCCTTCCACCCCTACAAAAATAATACAAGAGCCCACCTGGGTCAACTGCCTGCAAAATACAGAGTGTCGATATACATATAGCACAAAAATTGTTTGGTTTTCACATCTCAACGTCTCATTGCACTTCAATTTCCTCACTTGAGAATGAATGAAAGCTATACTAATGTACAGCCCACACCTTTTCACCCAAACCATTTTTGAGCACCCTGTGGACCCCACGCCTATGGGTGTGTATCCACTGGCAGGCGAAATGCTTGAAACGGGGGGCGAAAAGGCCGAAATGCTTGGAATGAAAGAGAATGTGAAAACAGCTTAGGCGAATTGATTGAAATGCTTGAAATGGCGAAACAGGCGAAAGCAGCGAAACAGTAATTTTATTTTTTGAGATGATTGAAATGGTTGAAAAGCCCCGGCGAAATGCTTGAAACGAAAAACGTGCATGTTTGTTTTTATTTTCAATCGTTTCGCCCATTTCTTCATGAATTGGTCGTATGATTGAAATGCTTGAAACGGTGAAACAAGCACAAACAGAGAAACTTCAAAATAATTTCAAAGGCGAATCGATTGAAATGCTCAAAATGATGTCAGCATTGAAACGTAGGAAATGATGCAAGCATTGATTGAAACTATTGAAACGCTATTACAGTACTGTCAACCCCCAAAGATTTTCTCGCGGGACAGATTTTTTAGACCCAGTTCCAAAAATTCGCGGGATTTTGCGGGACATCCACCTAAATTCGCGGGATTTCGCGGGACATTTAAGGGATTTGCGTGATTGCGCTAAAAGGTCAAATTTTGATCAAATTCGCGGGATTTCGCGGGACAATTCGAGTAACAGGGTAACCACCAAAGACTTCAGAGAGGGATAATTTTTCTAGACAAAGTGCCCTAAATTCGCGGGATTTTGCGGGACATCCACCTTTTGCGGGATGTCGCAGGACATTCAAGGGATTTTTAATGTAAAAGTACTCTTGAATCAAACTTTCAGATACTGATTTATCAAATATAATGCACTTAACTTAAGTAAACGTCAACACAATTCCACACAATTCCACACAATACGCATAGAACTATTATTAAACTATCAAAAAACACGCTTTAGGTGTGAGTACCGTAATCCGACACGAAATTCAAAAATTCTTGTGAATACTTTGCACTTATGGCGTTCGTGACCAACTATGAAACATTTACCCCCATAGTGTTATATATCAAAATGTACCTATTCGTATAGGGGTTCGATTATTCTACATCAAATAATGGGGAGTCAGGTTTCTTTTCGAGATATCAGTGTCCATTTATTGGAACTCGCGTTTGCTAACATTTGTTCAGTTCTGAGATGAAGGCCGTGACACGCATAGTAAAAAGGCCAACGTTGGAACTAATCGTGACATACATCCCTATTTCCGTAATTAAAATGAAATTTGCACTCTTCCTCTTTATTTTGATACCAAACGGCATGCTAAAGCCAACTATGGTGTTATTTGGATCAAAATCATAGTTTTATAAGTGTACTATATGCTCCTTCCAAAAGCAGTCTTCGATGATCTGATGCACTGGGAGTTCGGCAGCACTTTTCAAATTAGGTAAACTTGACTCCTCAAAAGTGCAAAAAGCTTAGCTTCTTATATCACAATATAATCACAATTATTTAGCCTCGGGGATTGTTACAATTTTAAAAATTCGCGGAGGTCAAAGCCGTCATTTGCGGGAATTCGCGGGACATTGCGGGACATGCGAATAAGCCAAATTTTGGTCAAATTCGCGGGATAATCCCGCCATTCGCGGGACACTTGACAGCTCTGCTATTAACAGTGTATACAGGGCCAACGCCTTTTTAACCCAAATCCCTATAAAGCCTATAAGTGTACATCGGAAACTATGCACTATGGCGATGAATTTTCTAAACATATACTCAGACAGAATTGGCTGATAGTTGCTTTGGATTTATACCACAAGGTTGTCTTTGCTAATTGATTGTGTAGTCTGTCATTGTTGTCCTCGGTACCTAGCTATGTTCTTCAAATTTGAGAAGAGAAAACATGAAAAAGAATGAATGAAATTGAAAAATTTACCTGGAATTTACTTGAATTTTAGGCTTTGATTCCGGTCTTTTCGTTGGTGTTTTGGTTACAAATTTTTCCTCAACTTCGTCTAAAAGATCATCAATATCGTCAGCCATCGTTAAAATAGTACAGTTTTCTGATATATCAATGAAATAACAAGTTCTTTCGAATTTTAATTTGCTTTGGACACCATTCCTAGTCGCATAAACACTGGAATTTCACTAAATGTAAAATCTCACGCGATTCTGTAAAACGAAACTATTAAATGAAAAAGTGATAAAATTGCATTTATTCATTTTATTGTGTATACATAATTACATAAATATGCTACATACTATTTGATAAAAATATTTTAAATGTTATATCCATTATCATTGGTTTCTTTAAGAACTGGTGGTCTGATAAAATGAAAATACAACATGCACTTAAATGGATAGAGAGGGTCAGTTTCTTTCAGCTTTGTTGATCATCTAGATGTTTAGAAAAAGTGAGCTTGTAATTGATGATTTGAATTGAGTTTTATGTGCAAAATATTCATTTGTAAGGTAGTTCATATTCATTAGTCTATTTTCACAAATGAGTACATAAAATAGAGATTTGTCTTCTCCCTTGCAAGGGCTGCTCTTTTTCATCCACACCATTTGCTCAACCATGGGCTTTCAAGAGAAGGGTATGCAACTCTGTGTTATTGCATGAGAAATTCAAAATGAGTGGTACCATGCTTCCCTTTTTGATATTATGTTTCACAAAGATTTAGATAAATGTATATGTTTTTAGTATTATCTTGAAGAAAAATCAATTTTGAATAAGATTAAAGCATAAAACATGATTAATCTTATTTAAAAGTAAATGAAAAGACCAATTATTACAAATGCGAAGCTATTCGTCATATGTACCTTGTTCCAGTCCTGAGCCCATCTAAATTACCTTTTATGGCAAATTTTGCCCCATCGACAACTAAACAAACAAATAATCTAAATATCACATATCACTTTTGATTCTAAGTTCCTTTGCATAATTTTTGGCATTCTGTGCCATTTGGGATTTTCCTGCTTGCCAAATCTTGTCTGAAGTCTTGTTTACACATTTTAAGCCAAACAGTTTGTTAAAGATGTGACTTCTAAATTCATTTGCATAATTTTTGGGCATTCTGGGTTAATTTAACATGGTCATTTTGGATTTTCCCTCACAAATCTTCTCTGTAGAATATTGTCTATACGGTATACACATTCCAAACCAAACCATTTTGAGAGATTGATCTGTAATTTTAACTTATGTACAATGGGTCAATGCCTTATACAGGGTGATCACTAAGTTCTGGGAATTTATCTGTCATTTCATTATTCTTCAACCAATTTACTTGAAATTTTCAAGGTAAATGGGGAATGTAATTTTGGGTTGGATAAAACAGTCTCATTGTCATCTGATGTCACAATGGATAATTATTGTTACTATAGCAACATGATAAATGGCGTAGCGGGTCAAGTAAAATAAAAATGAATTCAAATTTTGCTTGATCCAAAAGTATGGTTAATAAATACCTATTTGGTGGACATATTTCCGTGATTTTTTATATTTTCAAATACTTCTAACTTAAGTTTCTCAAGTAACATCTTTATTGTTATATAAGAGTGTACTTTGCTCTATTTTTGTATCATTCATCAGCATCTCAAAGTAACAATCATGACCAAAAATAGCGGGGAGTTATCTTCCATTATGACTATGCTCCTTCCCATTACTCAAGCTGCCCATACTACTCTTGAAGAATTGGGGTTCACACAAGTTATTACTGCCCCATATTCATCGGGCAATATTCCCCAGATGAAGCACCATTAGGCTTCACTACATTTTGGGGTGCTAAAGCATCATATGAGAGGTCATAAGTTTGATTCCAATAAGGGACTGATTTCAACGGCTTGAGCAAATCTTCAAGGGATGCCAAAGGGAGGACTGGAACACATCTTTATGGACTAAGTTTGTCAACAACGCATATGCGTCCAGGCTAATGGAAACAATCATAAATGAAATGGTCCTCTCAGCAATGAAGAATACTTCTAAATAAATGACTTCAAGAGTACTGTTCTGCCTCTAGTACAAGTAGTTTGAAGCAACTATCTAGGCAAGATGAATATGTTTTGGCAGGAAATTTTCAAATTAACATCAGTCAAAATTTGCTGACCCGCGAACCACTTTTACTTTTTTTGTAATTACAATAAAATAAATTGTAGATGTGATATGTATATGAAACATTGCTTGTCAATTCAGAATTATACAATGTACACCTGCTGAGAATTTCAACTCAAATGGTTGAGAAATCTTGAAATGGCAGACCAATTCCCAGAACTTAATGATCACCCTGTAAATAGGTATAAATAGATCATTCCAACTCTGACACAATATCTGGCTAAAATATCCTACAGGCCTAGCTTCTTATGGTGTAGTAGAGGGCAGTAGGTGTTATTGGGAAGGTCTATTGGCTGGGCTTTTTTCATCCTCCAAATATTGTTACTTACCATTTGTTATTAATATAAACAGAGTAAAGCCTTAGTCATATTTGCTCTACAGTGGGCATATGACAGCCATAGCTTCACAAATTCAATATAGAAAATCGACATCATATTGCTAATCCCTATGTTTTATGCTGCAGATTTCTCTCGATTTTGGGAAGCTACAGCCGCCGTAAGATCACCGTAGATTAAATGTGACTGAGGCATAAGATACAAGAACATGGGAAGTTGAGATGGAAGAGATAACTCATCAAAAACATATGAAATAACAAATCATTTAATAAAACAAATGAAAACATGTCGTTTATTACATAAAATAAAGTTAAATAGTACAGTATGAAAGGCAGACTTTAAATTATGAACAATTCCACGTTAAAGTCTGATGATGTAAAATTGATACAAAAACAATGGCTTATAAATAATAAGTATGATTTCAACTTACACATCAATTTTATACTTATATGTTTCTTAGTTTGAAATATTACTTTAATTTTACATAAATGATGACTAGACTTATAATTTAATATTCTATAGTTCAGTGACATTGATATGTGTATTATTGGCATATTTTTTTTAGTTTTTCAATTCTCCCAAAGTTGCAAAACAAAAAATGGATTCCCCTAGAATATGGGGAACCCGAATCCTGTTCAAAATTATTTCAATGGCCTAAAGTGCTGCAACAGATTTTCAAATATATTAATTATACACTTCATGGCAAAACACAGTTGGCATCAGTTACAAGAAAAATCCAGAATTGTCCTCTTTTTACAGATTTGAATAAAACATCAATGCCACCTCACACATGTTCGAGATCATGATCTAATCTGAACTGTTGATAAACATATGCATATATTTAACATGCACTGAGATAAAATACTGAATTTTGTAAAGTAATATAAAGTTCAAATATTGTGAAAATGGTTCAAATCCTCTTGATTTTTACATAACTTCAGCATGAAGAGGAGGGAAGTCCCAGAGTTCAAAGATGACCTCAACTTCAATTGAAATGTAAATGACATAGGAGCGAACAAAAACAAAATGACAGATTCAAAATTTTCTAAAACTGCTTTGAATGTTAATTTCTGGCATATTAACCAAAATTAAAGCTTGTTATTTCACATCAAGATAAAGACAGATGTAAGGAATATGTTTACATTGATTAAAACATCACATCAAATTGTGGCATTCAGAAACTAGATGATGGAAATTCAGAAAAAGAGGTAATTTTTAGGTCATCTCTGGGTTTTCCCTCCTCTTTTCAGTACTGAAACAAGTTGGGAGCCTCGATGTGAAAACTGTCTATCCTAGCCAGAGGGTAGTTAATTCTACTAGCCTATGGGTTAAAGGGTAGCATTCATATGAACTTGCGATGACCAATATTACAATCTACATTAAACACATTGATGAGACATTTGAAATAATCTTAATATGAATATGTACAATATTCAAATACCAGAAAATGCTGCTTTTGTTAGATTATCTACACATACACAATCTTGTTAGATTCTCTCTATACAAAATAGCTAGATAATGATATGTACTAACATATCTATTATACATTATATAGAATATACCATGGGTGCCATCAACACTATAGCACAGACATATATATATTTGCTCCATTTTTATTTGTATACACGCCATAATCTGTACATAAATGTTGATGGAATCCTGGTATTGTAACAGAACAATAAATTAGTCGATACATTATTATAAATCATCATAACATGTAACATATAGAGAATGGTAGCCTTGCATGATCCAGTTATGCTACATAAATTTAACATGTTTTATATACTGTACTGTATTGCTATCCATGTGTATATAGTGATTCACTCTTTTTTTACTTATTACATTACCAATTTTTGACCAGCATTAATTTACTTATTCGTTACACTAAAATCAAGTGAATTTCACACATTCAGCTATGTAACAATCAAAAAATTCATCACAGTTTCTTTTACATTGTGGTTAAAATTCCGGTGTAAAATTTTGAATAAAAATCATCAACATACTAAAAATAGAATTTGAATCATTTTAACATGGGATAAAAACCAAAACATGTTTAAAACTTCTAAAAACATTTTAAAATAATATTTTTTATCACTAACAACACAGATTTGTAATGATTCTGAAGATATTTTTCAAAATGGCAGGATAAATACAATAGATTTCGATAACAGCAGTATATTATGAGAGTTCACAGTCAAGAGACAGTTCAGAATTAAATGCATAGCATGGAAGTGAATACTCAGCATTGATGAATTTAAGGCCTTATTTGGGCATACATAGTCTGGTACAATACATTTTTAGTTTAAATATTAGCTTTTCATGTTATTTCAGAAAGAACATAGTCTAGCTATGATATACAAGAGGGCTACAATATATGCCCAACATATATACACCCAATGCTCATATACAGCTAATAAACTTTATTTAGGCCAAGAATATGAATTTACGGTTCTCATAGCCCTCTTGGCCATTTGTTTTGTGAGAACCCTTAATAAATAAATAGGTAAGGCCTTACTGCACCATTATACATCAACAATCAACACCCTCCAGGATTTCTTTATAACACTGCAGCATTGCATCTTTGAATTTGGCATGTTCTTTTGATATATCCCATAATGCAACAGTATTAGCAGACGGAACAAAGTCTATTTTTGTTGTTCCCATAATGCAACACTCACAGCAGACAATCACTGCATCCAGTCTGTTTTTATTGCTTCATGTTTTGCTCCAGTTAACACAGTTTCATCAATTCAGGTGGTAAAGCTGATATTTTAGACATTTTATCTCAGGGCTTGAGCAAGAAGGTCATGTTTTTCTTCATCAGTTAATCCATTCTTTAATGTTCTTCTCACTGAAATATAAAAATGAAATATTTCAAAATGTACAACAAGAGAATATACTAACTAGACTTATAAAGACACTGGAGGTTTTCAAGTGTTTGATCCATTCTTTAGATGTAATTATAGGAGAAGAATAGCAATACATGTATGTCTATGGATTACCCAACTGCAAAATGAATTCAATTTTTTAGATCAGAAATGTGTAGGTATTATGTTGTTTTAATAAATGTATGAAAACCAATTTTAGAAGGATTAGTGATTCAACTGTATATTTCAAGCTTCTGATCTTCAAATTCATGAACATTACTTCAAAGCTTAGATTAATAAGAGCAAAAAAGTGTTTCAGTTAATAGAAATGTGACTTTATGATTACTGAAACAATCAATACAAGCAGTATAATGTTAAACTCTTAAACATAACATGTGGATGACATCAACACAAGTCACTGACTTCAGTGACTATACATCATTTTAGTGTAATGCATTTATATTATGAATACAGACTATACATGTAAATTGGTTTAATATAGCAGCTGCTGTTTATAGATGAATTTAAAGTGTTAGGATGAAAGATATGATGAACATTTCCATAAATGTTGAAAAACTGTTTATGTACATGCACGTTTATGTAAAGCATTTACAAATTGACATTCATGGCATTCATGCAGTTTTTTGGCATTCATTTAATTACCTAGATGTATTTACAATCATACTTATGTAGAAAATGTTGATCGATCTAAAAGAAGGAATTATAACATGACATGGTTTTCATTTTCAATTCATTCACCATCATTTTTCAGAAGCAAAAGTTAACATCAAAATGCATTATAAATATAAGTTACATAGTTTTGCCTTAAAAATGCAACAATGTTCAAGGAGACTCAATAATAGGAATTATTTAAAATTTGCAAGCAGCTTACGAGACTTCCTATTCTGGTCACGAGCTCGCCTCCTACGTTCTCGTGGGGCTCTACCAGATGGCGTAGTTGTAGCTGTTTTAAGACATGCCTCTAACATCTCATCATCTTGAGTGTCATAGACAGATTCTGAGTCGGTCCCACCTTGGCTGTGTCTGTTGCTTCTTCTAGGCACTGTCAGGTTGTCTGGAGCGAAAGGGGTCATGAATTATGAATTAATCTAAATATTCAGTATTCTGTTGAAATTTTTAGCATGCAAAATGTTATATATCATTTGATAGGGAAGTTAACAAAATGCAATTACAAGGCTTGAGTAAAAGTCATTGATTTACCAATTTGCTGTATATGTATTATGTAGAGGAATCAGGGTGAGGATTGGCCCCATAAAATTGAAAGTACATCAGATGGTTGGATACAGTACAGTGAAAAGAAACGATACACAGATGAATGCAAAGATCACTTTAATGGGCAACTGTCTACGCTCACTGTAACAATGAAGGACCCACGGTCCTGTGCTCACACAGTTTGGAACCTTCAGAGGAATTTATATCCTGACTTTCAAACAAAAATATTGATTTGGATTTGTAGTCTCGAACTTTGAGAAACTTAGATAGCATAGTTGTGTGACCTAGTTTGATGACCTTTGACCTTGAAAATGTTACTTATTCAGAGCTCAGTAAGGTCTTTTGTGATTAAGCTGACCAAAATTTACATCCAAAAATCAATTTGAAAAATCAACTTTTTTGACCTTTCGAAGGTCACTGAAGGTCAAATCCTAAAACTAATGTCAGATTTGAAGTCCTGGCAACTTTAAGATGATTTTCAAAAAAAAATTTGGTCAAATTGAAGCAAGTTGAAAAATAACTTATTTTTACTGTTTTTTGACGTCAAATATCTCAAAAACAGTAAAAATTTGACGCTGACATATATTGAGAAATATGTAGGGAATGCTTAAATCTATTAATGATGTAATTTATTGCAGGAAATGATCAAGTAGAAGGCAAACTTTAAGAATCTTGTCAATCACAAAACCTGCCATTGACTTTATACATGAGAAAGTTTCCTGAAAATGACTAAGTCCTACTTTTTTTCAAATTTTATAGAGTAAACACCAAAAACCGTAATTCCAAGAGCTTTGAAATCTTTAGAAGACATAAGTTACATATACACCAACTACTTAAAGTTATTTGAAAGTTCTACTTTAACAAAGTGTTTAGTATTTACAGAAAATTTGACTTTTTGACGTCAAAATCCGCAATTTCTCGGAAACCGGGCGAACTTGGGAAATGGCGATGATAGGTCAAATAGGCATTATGGATATGCATAAAATGAATGTGGATATGAATCAATCCGAATAGCAGTTTTAATTTGTGCGGCCAATGTTGACGGACGGACCACAAATGGACGGACGGACGGACCAACGGACGGACGGACGGACCAACGGACGGACAGACGCCTGGTCAATCCCATAAAATCACTGTGTGAGCCAAAAACTCATACATACCCACAGAGCCCATAGACATTCTTTTTCTTGTCCTTGCCCCTGGCAAACTGTTAGTGTTCTCCTTCTCATTCTCACTCCCAGTATGGCCATTTGTTAACACTTTCTTAAGCATATCATCTTCCTTTGGTTTGGCAAATTTTCCAGTCTAAAAATCATAATAAGATGGGTTAAAATGGGTTTAGTTTATCAGTCACAATTAAGTTCACCTAAGTATTACTGCCATTAATTAAGTCAATGTTAATTTTTTCTTAAATAATAGTTCTTAACTAATGATGATTTTAAGCTAAAATAAAATCTGATATGTGAGTTTGGCCAGCATTTCAATCACTTTAAATTGTTTATTGCGTTTTTTGTCATTGATGTTATTTAAGCATTTCAATCAGTTTAAATTGTTTATAGCGTTTTTTTGTCATTGATGTTATTTAATGTCATCATTCAACCAGTTTCTAATAAAAAACACATGTACTTACATCAACTATCATTTTTCCCCTTGTTTTCCTCCTTTCCCTGTTATTCGCTTTCTTTTGCCTTTGGATCATGACTTTCTCCCGTGTTGTGCGGTATTCCAATGAGAACTCACTAACAACCTTGCAGAAGTAGCTGACTTTAACCTCTTTAGCCATACTTACACTGTAGCCAAGGTACAGTAGCAGCTTATTAAACCTGAAAAGGTAAACCGGGTGAAAATGAATGATCAATTTTTTGGATAAAATATTAACGCTACAAGATATATAACTAACATGATTCATCAGTCTTTTAATTGATACCAATGAATCCAACCCATTCATCATGAGACACATCTCATTTATCAATTCATTATTCCTTTCAAATATTGTTATTTCAACAAGTGCTTAAGTTCAGCATTTCAACAAGTGCTTAAGTTCAGCATTTCAACAAGTGCTTAAATTCAGCATTTCAACAAGTGCTTAAATTCAGCATTTCAACAAGTGCTAAAGTTCAGCATTGTTACTCCTAATTTACCTCTTAATAACCACCAATTACCCTACTCACCTATTAAGAACTCTTTTATGTACAATTTTTAAGACAATAATCCTTTCAGCACAGTCAGACAAGAACTCCGATAGCCTGTAAAAAGATTAAAATTAATATTTACATTTTGTTTAAATTCTTTTATTTCTATCACTGCACTTAACGTAAGCTAAGATGCAACATTATCCAATATGTGAAAAACCATGATTAAGATGACGAGTCAAACCACAAAGAAGTCATTTTTTATTAATTCTAAGGTACAGTACAGTTTATCTTTATCTTTTCAATGCCCATTTAGGCACTACATCTTTCATTAGTTGAATCATCTCTGAAAAACATAGCTTTTCAATATATCATACAGGCACTAAAAATCCACGATGGGGAATGCTTAACAGAGAATGTTTAATGTTATTGCAGAGGCCACTTACTTGGTCTTCATTGGAGAATTGCTGTCATGTTTGGCAATCGTGCGCAGATTGTCCCAGGATGTTTTGCAGTCGGACTCCATGTTGCCGAGTTTCAAGCTCAATTCATCCCAGTCAACCTAGAATTGTTTGATTTTCGATCATTTTTATTTGTCATTATAATTACTCAATCAAACACAATATGGAATACCTAGATTTGTGAGGTACTGGTCTCCCTCTTATTAGAACATTTAGAATGAATCTAGTCAGGAACATTTTTTCAAGTTATCAATTGTATTCTAACATTTACTGTATTGTTGTTCAAAGTGTCTTTCCTACACATACGCAAACTTATTTCAGCCATTCTGACTTTGTATCTATAATGCTGAGGATAATATGCCTTGTATATGATTCAATTGATAGAAACAAGAAACTCTAAGGTGTAATATATTGCATGACACAAGTAACAAGGCATTAACTTGCAAAATGTCACCACCAGCCATTTGTTACAGATACCAATGGCCAAACACCATCCACAAAATATTTCATTAATTCTGGTGGTAACATAGTAATAATAATGAAAGCCTTAACATGCATCAGACAACCTACCTTTGCACATCTAGCTATTGCACCAATTTCTGAGTAGAGATCTGTACTATCTGGGAACTGTTCCATAACTGTGCCACATAGATGGTGTAACAATGAATGCTTATGGACTGTGTCTTTAACCTCTGGTACCCTGGCAAGATACTCTAGGTTGAAGCCCTTCACCTATACAGTTCAACAAACAAGGAAAATTAAGATAGGTTTTTAACTTTCATCGAAAGTAGCTGTCACATTAGCTCACTGTTCGCCTCCATGTGGCTTTGGGTATTTTTTTTATTTAATCAATTAATTTTTGTATTAAGTGTGATGGTGGTTATCTTGTTTGTTTTTATTACTATTTTTTTGCCCATTGTGTATCCATGCCATGGCCCACCATCTGCCCCAAAGTATTCACACGGTGGTGAACAGTGAGCCATAACCAGAGGACTTGAAAAACTTGTTGCCTAATTTCTGGCAAGTATGTTCTTAAACTAAGTGATTAATCCTGTAAACAGGACATTGCAATGTCTTCATTATGTAAATCATGAAACTGAAATAAACTGTGAACAAATTCATTGATGTAAACATGCTCTGCTACTCTCTGCAAGTAGAATTCGAACAAGCTCAGGGACAAGTGGACGAGGTGTGTTTCAAAAGTCATTTGGGCATTGTCATCCTAATAAGGCTTAAGGGAATTAAGAACTATAAAAGGAGGGTTAACAAATATTTTTTGTAAACAAAAACTACCGGAATGTCTTACCTGGTGGCCGTTTAGGATGCTCCCAATGGCAAGTAATGTGGCAAGAATATTTTTGAATGTACGGTTGGCCTTCAGATCATCAATGGCCTGTTTCAGATCCATCAAGGGTTCTGCTACCTCCTAGAAAATCCAATAATTATTCATCTATTAATTAAATGCCTGTTTCAGATCCATCAACGGTTCTGCTACCTCCTAGAAATTGCAATAATTATTCAGTTATAAATTAAATCATGAACTCTTGTTAATTATAGAAATTATTAACTTTCATGTTTCCATTAATGACCCCCTAAATGCAACTAAGTCAGCGAAAATATGAGCTGAATGATACGCTGACGTATTCAAACTTTCTTTTAATTTCAGTCGAGAAAAGACGAAAAAATAAAATATCTTTCATTTTGAGTGATAGTTCTATAAAATAAAGATTTGAATCAAGGTCTATATACTCATCACAATGTACACTTGTATTTGTGGATCTAAAATCAACACATGTGGAGTGAAACCTGTAAAGTGGAAGACCTCTAGTAGTGGAACACCTCTGTTAGAAGAACATTTTTCAGAGTCACAAGAACAACGACTTAATGTTGAGTGAACCTCCCAAGTGGAACTTTTTAGAGGTACCAAAGGTGTTCATCTTTTCATTAAAAAGAATTAATATTAACAAACAGAATCTTTACCTCTTCTGCGGAGTCGTAATCCAGTTTAAATGCCCAGAGCTCCAGGCGGGACTTTAGTTCACTGACAGATGAGAGGGTGAGAAGGAACTGTTCAGCAGTACCAAGGGGCAGGTCAGGATTTGCCATTTGGGCTTCAAGGATCTTTGTTTTCTCCTCATCCGTAGGGATCATGGTACTCAAGATTTTCTGAAAATATAACATATTTTAGTGAACTATTGCCAATAGGCTGTCAAGCATGCATGGAAAAAATCACATTTCCCTCATATATGCTGGTGAATATAAGTTCAACATTTACAATCTTGAGTTCTTTCATAAGGTCAGTAACTTTGAATGATCTTTCCAATGGTATATCACACTAGGTACCATCTACTAAGATTTCAGCTGTTGCATATTTGACACCCTGTATAATATAGCATGACTAATTTTACCACATATTTCACTGAGAAGATTCATAATTTCTTACATCAATGCCTTCTCTGTTCATGATGGCGCTGTCCATTTTCAAGATGGCCGTCTTGATTGTCCTGGGAGGGGGAAGGACGGTCATTCCAATATTTATGGCGTTGGAACGTTTTGGATCCAACACAATATTTTCCTTTTTCCCTGAAGTATCTCCCTTCTATAATTAAATTTAAAAAAAACTATTACTCAAATTGTGACTTTATAAAATGTCAAATTAGTATATTTTCTATCTTTAAGCGGCCACATGGTTTGATTTAATTACCCTAATAATTGTGTACTTAAGCTTTTGATGCAAAGCATTATTATATAGCAGTATCAAAATAACACGACTTTACATAAATAAATTAACTTAATACTATTTAATGTTAATTTTACATTGAAATAAATAAATGAATTGTGCAGCAGCATGCAATTTAAAGGTTTTTGTAATGGGTCATGAAAAAGTCTCTTAAATAAGAAAGATGAAATTGTTGCCCATAAAGTGATCCCTGTGTTTCTAAACTGTACAAGGGCCAATCAAGTGGTGATAGAATATGGCTTTTATAGGTGAATAAAGTCTTCACAATATGTATGACTATGTAAATGATGCTCAGAAAGTGAATTCAAAATAGTGAAAATCTGAATATAATGAAACTGTAATATCCTATTGTTCCAGTGCTGGTAAAAAATAGAATTGTGATATCAACCAAGTGTTGCATGTGAATTAGAATTGCAATGCCTGAAGTGATCAAAACACCCAGTGAAGCGGAGACTATAAGGGATAAAATCTGAAGAGAATAATTCAGGAAAACTGGCAAGAAATGCAAAGCAGACTGGGAGAAGAGGAAAGTGTATTACCACATCACTCTGCAGAAAGAATAAAGAATAATTTGGATGAAAGAACAATGCTCAGATTATTTATGATAAAGAGAGAAAAGGATAAGCAGAGAGTTTTAACTTTAAAGCAAGAACTGGTCTATTTCACTCTAAATACTGTTGCCACGCAATGGTGCTCACAAAATATACACATTACTCATTCGTTACTTGAAGCTTTTAAAAAAGCAATATGTATATTTTAGGAATGCTAACACTACCACTAAAGCTTAATATAATAAAAGTGTGTTGAAGAGAAATGCAGTTTTCAGAGACTAACGCAGCGATTATAGAAGAAGCAAAAATATCATCAAAATCTGTGTTTATGGTATAACAAGGCATTAGTATGAACTTATATGGGCATATTTGCATGATCTTGTTCAGCCTGCCATATATGGACACAAACACAATATTCTGTAGATCATATAAAACTGATGACATCGTGATGTCAGACTGATGACATTGTGATGTCAGTTCTCTTACCTCCTATTGACCATGCAATAAATAAATCAAAGAAAAAAATATTAAGTCATGCCTTGTTATAAATCATATATTACATTTCAGGTTATTAATTATACATATGGTACATATAACAGTTCATATCTGACATTATTCGGATGTACAATAACATATAAAGCCATGGATTTCTTATCTTTTTCCTGTGTATTATATAAACATTATTACAATTAAATCTACATTTGTTATGGAATAAATATGATCTGAAATAAGATTAAAATCTGAAGTTTATCAGTTTATATAATTTGTGATGAAAATTAAATAAACATACCTTTGTCTTGAGTTCTACATTCCTTGTTTCGAAGAGATGTTCTAGTTTTTCTTTGTCAAGGGTCACTTTGCTCAACCTATCCCAGATAGAATCCTTCACAACAGGGTTAGGAGTATTGTTTTGTAACTCCCGCCAATGAAGGCGGACTGTCTTTGATTTCCTCTGGAGAGAGTCTGTATTTCCAGGGGGAGGGGGTGGGGGAGCACCGAAGGGTGGGGGCGGTGGTGGTGGCCCTCCAAGTGAAGGTGGAGGAGGTATCATTCCTGGAAGACCAAACCCAGGAGGAGGTGGAGGTATGCCACCACCAGGAGGGGGAGGGATTCCTCCCTGTCCAGCAGGTATGGGGGGATTCAATACATCAAGATCCCCATCATTTTGTAAGTCTGTGAAATCAAGTCCATGAATTTTCAAAGGACGGCAAGTTGTACGACGTAGCATGTCCCATTGGACTTCACTTTCAGTTTTTTGTTTGCCCTGCACTTCTGATGGATCAACTGTGGCTAAGGGCTTAGATATCAAACCATCCTTGGCTCTTCCAATAAGCCCGCTTAGATCACCAGTGGGAGACTTGGCACTACCAGGATCAATGCCATTCTGGGAACCGATCATACCTGCAACTGATTGCACCGTGCCTTGGTTGTTCAGATCATCTGGGCCACCAGGCATTAAAGTATCACCGCCACGTTGTAGATTTTCTATCCTAGAACTAAGACTGTCGCCATCCATGCTAAAGCCCTTGTTCAGTTCTGTAAGCTGTTGTTCTGCCGCTTGCTGTGCCTCCTTGTTCTTCATACTGGAGATCTTATACAACATCCAGCGTTTATTGTTGGAGATTCCCGCGGGAATGGATGGCTGGTCGAGACTAGTTGGGCTCAATGGAGCGTTATCAAGTTGTTGATTAAGAGATTCATTTCGACGATTATTATGAGACTCAATGTCATTATAGTTCTGTTGGTCATGTGACTGGTCATGTGACTCACCCGTACTGAGATAGCCAGATTCGCTAGAATTTTGGTACTTGTGATTGGGGATAAGTTCTTGTTCACCGTCCTCTAATGCTGATGAACGTCTAAACTGCTTCCTCATTGGTCGAACAGTGTCATCTGAAAACACACCTTTTATATAATATTCTCATATACCGTTGGTACATATTTTTCAAACGTTCTGAGTTATACAATAAGAAGCAAGATTTTATCATAGTTTGAAAACATGTGTACTTGAAAAATCACCCTCTCTGATATTTAACAAAACATTGTGGTTAAGTTAGTATGATTTTCAAAACCCGAAAAACATTGTGTACACCCGACATTAATAATGGTAAAATGGTCAAGCTTTTATGAATGGTAGGAACTGGTACACTGGTTAGTTAAACACATGTCACATGCATTATTATTACACCATGCATTATATCCCAGCACTTGTAAATATGGATCTTCACTTGATGCCAAAATTTGGCTGGACTGGATTATATTTTTTGTACATACCTAGGTCTCTGTTTTCCATATCACTTAGTGAACCTACAGAGGGATTTTTGACACTGCTATCTTGTAGTGTAGTTAAACTACTGCATGATGCTGAAGACAACGTACTTAGAGTACTCGTTGTACTAGCTAGAGATATGTTATCACCCTCAGTGGTGGGTAACTTTGTTTTTTCAATGGAAGTCCTCGTTGTATTTGTATCTTTATTACTAAATACTTCATCGTTTTCTAATGTTGAACTTGTTGTATCTGTGCCACTTTCTGATACATTTGTCCTCTCCTCTAATTTTGAAGAGTCAATATTATTATCTGTCTCCTTTTCTAAAGAGCTCTGTACTGTGGCTTGAGACTCCTGTGGCTCCCTCATTGGGGAGTTATAAGTTCTATTGACTTCTAAATCTGGACTTTTCCATTCTTTTCCCTCCTCCCTCTTTGATATAGCTTCTCTTAATTCTTTGGTCAGCTGGGATTGTTCCTTTGTAAGAGAGCGCTGTCTCTCACGACGTTCACGTCTCCTTCGATCTCTTGGTACAACTGAAGTCAAAGCAAAGACATGCAAAAATCACACTTCATGCGGTTAGAGCCTGTGCACACTAAAACTGTGCTTGGGATACTTATCAAAAGCTGGTGTCACACTGACGAGTTAGTAGGAACTAGATGCTAAAATGAAACATCCTAAAATTATGAATACACCCTATTGTACACTGGATAATGTTTTCTCCCTTATGAGGTTTTAATGAATTTTCTCATTTTGTATGATACAAAGCCTTATCAAAGTTGAGGATTTTTTACAATGTGCTAAAGATTGGAGTGATGTCTTGTTTACTACAGAAGGGGCATAAGCTGGAAGTAACTATTCTAGCCCAACTGCATCTTCTGTTTAAAATATCAGAAATCAGTTTCAAAACTTGGGAAAATGATGTAACACCAGCTTGTTAAGTATTGATACCCTTGAGATATATACTACATAGACTGTTTGTTTTGAAAAGTCTCGAACTGATGGGATCGCTATCAATGCCAACATACTACAAACATATAGTGGGTATACAAATGATGGACCAGTATTTGAGAATAATTACTTCATCAAAAACATATTTAATTGAATTGTGATGATGAAAGTGTGGTTTATAGTCTTTCATCAATTCATAAAATTCCCTTTGTCTATTGTGGTAAAGTGCAGGAATGGGGGAAGACGAATTGGGTAGTCGGGCAGACTGGATGCAAGAAAAACATGATTTCACTTCTATAATATCTCTTGATTTGCTGATTAATGAAGAAAATCTTGTATAACTCTATGGTAAGAATTGGGCCATGTTCAACAAATCTTCAACTTTTTCAAAGGACCATATCAAAAACTAAAACGTATTCACATTGCTTAGCTATAAATCAAGTAATCATGACTGCATGGGTATAACTAGATGCCCATACTTTGATATAACATCTAGACAAAACCCGAAGTAAAACACATAAATGAATGTCAGGCAAAAATAATCTTTCCAAATAGGGATCATTCCAAAAATGAAAATATGTTATGTGACTCAATGCAAATGTAATCAACAAAATATTGAACAATATGCAAACAAGGAGATGATGAAAAAAATGAAATCATACAATCAAGTAGCCGCCTAAAGCTTAATCAACTGTAAAACTGGGTACCTTGTCTACGAATTATTTAGAAAATCAGAAAAGTATCAACTGTTGAACTTGGTAATCTCTGTCATATGTAAAGATTTAAAAAATCCAGCAAGTGGTTTTCCTGTAATGGCGATGACGATAAATATGATAAAAGTGTTGTTTTATCACTTGGCAGTAACTCTTGAGTGGGTGTAGATGCTCCATGAAATGCAATCAAATATGCATTATTATAATATAAAAAACAAGTTAAATGCAATAAATAATAACAATAATAACAAGTCATGAAGCAAAAAGTGAACAAACATGCTTAACAAATCAAGAGGAACAAACCAATAGCACCAACACAACTTCTCAACCAATCAAATGAGGGCTAGGTTTGATGGGATATTTCCTCTTCTATGCTTATCACTTACATGAACTTTGCTTTACAGGTTCAGGGGATGATTCTACTTCTTCGTCATTCACTGGAGGGCGCCATATTCTCCTTGGAGTGTCACTTGACTGTCCACCATCCATCTTACTTTCAGGCTCCTAAATTGTCAATGAAAATCTACTATTAAGCATACATTGACAGAACATCAGTCAATCAAGCTCATAATATTCATAAAAATATGACTATAAATCAAAGTTATTAGTGTGGAAAACTTTCACTGAATTTTAATATGCTATTCAAAAGATGAAACGTAAGTTATTAGAGGTTTAATATGCATATCTCTTAAAAATATCACAAAAGATTAGCAAGATTTTAAGGCTATGTGGAAACTCCTCTATTGAATTTGTCCAATATAAATGATTGTTTCTTATTCTTATATTTGGTACATAGCATATAGTGTAGGGATATCATTTTCACTAACCGTATGCTGATTAGCCCAGGGTGGAGGTGTTTTGTCTTCATTTTCATCCTGTCTTTGTCTGCGTCGTCTACGACCACTATCTTCAAGCTCAGGAGTCTGTTCACGATTCTGCCATCTTTGTTGCTGGTTTGCCATATTCTTCTGTTGTTCTTGTTCTTCTGCGGCTTTACGTGCACTGAAAAATTTCCAGCATCATATTTCAATATTAATTTTTTAATGAATTTCCGAAAACATTAGAATCTTATCTTTAACACTCATGAAACTAAGTAACATTAGCTTTTGGATAAAGCATACAGAAATTATTTTAATACCGATGTTTCAAAGTGTAAAAATTATGATTTTGTGTACCATATGCTTTTATTTTCAAGATTAGATATTTATCACTCACCATTCCCGTCGTTCCCTTCTTCGTCTTTCTCTGGGGTCCTCATTTTTGTCTTCAGGGTGTTCACTGGTAGTTGGCAAGGTTTGTTGTAGTTTCATAGATCTCCCAGTAGGTGGCGTAGCAGGTTGGTTACCTGTAGAATAGCGTCTACTTTTTCGACTTTCATCTTCACTTTTCTGACGAGGTGTTCTCCTATTTGTAAAATGAACAAATTCCTGTTTAGAACTCATTTTGAAAAATTACAATCTAACTTCTGATGACACAAAATCTACATTATCCAGGTCTGTGTTTGTACCAGTCCTTTTATCCTACATGCATTTATATTATAGAAGATGTTAATCAAAATATTTGAAAAGTTTTCAACGCAGAACCAACTTCTGTAGTCTATTACAATTTACTTATGTATAAACTTAGGCAAGAACTTCAAATAATGAAAATCTCAACATCAGAGGTAAAATGATAAAAAAGACATGTATACCGGTATCCAAGTAACAAAAACATCTTCTGACTTGTTTTAAATGATAACACATTGTTGATGTAGTTTATATACATCTCCTATATGTGCTTAATATTGCACTTGAATTTCAATGATGTTCTTACATCGATACAGATTTATTTCATCCTGTTGCTTTTACGTCATTCGCTTCAGACTTATGTTAAAAACAATAAGTATATATCGTTGTGGCATTATTTTATGACATAAGTTGTAACCTTTGGTTAGTTTAAAAGTCTGAAGGGGCGATAACTAGAGTTTATAAACTTTGAAAAAGCTGCATAAAGTTATACTGCACATAAAATCATAATTTATGGGCAAAATTAATATTTTTAACATGTACTTGTATATAGGAAATGCTAGGTTTAACAAAATATTTTCAGTTTTGTTATAAATGATAACTTCCTGTTTTAACTTAAGAGGGTTTTACTTTTTTGAAAACTACAATTAATCTTTAATTAAACAATAATGATAAGCTTTATAATTTTCAACCTGTCTACCTAACTGTAGCTATAGACTAGGCCAAATTGTGAATACATTTTGCAAAAGTAATTTCACTCAGAATTAAACCAACACCCCCTCCCCATAAAGCTCTAGGTGCATTAAAATAGTACAAGTGTCACCCAACTTAATTGAAATACTGTACTAATGTTTACAAAAGATGTTTTTTCCATCTTTCAAATGATAGTATGTGTACTTTTGAGCACAGAAATAACACTTCAATATTCAACGAGTACATTTGCATATTTAAACATAGCTGCTAAAAAATATTCCAAATAAAAGGTGACATCAAAATGATGAGATCACCTCTTTTAATTTATATTAGTCTGTCTACTTCACTCATTTTACCAGTTATATATAAGTCTTCCTAGTGCTTAACTTTTCACAAACTGAATATTACTTAAATATACAGGGTGAACATAAAGTCTCTTTATAATTACAATACAGTCTATGTTAAGTGTTAAAACTATGGGCATCCTGTAGTAAGGTGGGGTGAATTTCAAAGTTGCCTGCATATGGTACGCATAAACACATTAAATAGCCCGTGTTATTTATTCAACATTGCTTTCTTAAAAGGAAACTATGGGGTCCTTATTCTTCATGTTTTAGTATTTTACAGGCGAACATATTTGAACAAAAATTATGATGACTTGATTATTGATATTTACATGGTGATCATTTAGTACTTATCAAGCTCAAACCTAATGATTCAAACATTCGCTACTGATATTTCCGAAATAGTTATGTATAAAAAATACAATCCATGGAAAGCCAAATTTTGAAAAGTTTTGCTTTTCTGATTGAGGTACATGTAATTGAACCATTTCTTTAAATGAAATTGAAGTGAGGTTTGATCACAGATAAAAAAGTTAGTACTTAAACTTAGTATATGTAACCTACTTGGTATCATCCCATTTGCGCTTAAGATTACGTCGTCGTGTATGGTTTAATCCCCGCTTCTCTAAAAATTTCTTCATCGATCTTTCAATGTTAGAAAACATTTTGAATCCTTCAGTTGGTGTTACTTTCAAACTTGATCTGATATCTATGTCTTTCACTCAAGTTCATTTGTTTTTTAACTCATATATGTTCCTCTCCTTTTAATGTATTTTTTCTCTATTTAAAATTGACCAGTAACAATTTCAAATTACATATCCAAAAACTCTCTTCTTACTAACGGTCAGTTAGTTTTTATGAGGTGTAAGTCCAGGTCTTAAAAATTCAAATCATGTTATTTTTTCTGAATGATAAAATTAAACCAATGAAATTGAAGATAGGCTTATATAAACTTATAGATTTGACATTTATGATTGATAGTCATATATAAATTTTTCACTAGAATAAAAAAATAAATCACATTGCTCTTACAAAATTATAACTACATATCATAATATCAACAAAAAAGATATGGGAATTGACTGTAAAATACATGCAGCTTTGATACACACTTAAAATAGTAAATTTTGAAATTTCTCAAAATTAAGCGATTTTCATTTTGTAATTCAATATGAATGAGAATGAAATAACCATGAAACTCAATGTAAGGGGAGCAGTCAGGAATGTAAAATAGACAGACTTACTCTTATCTTATGAATGTGGTCAATAGAAAACCGTTATTTTCAATCTTTACACCTTAATTTATAAATCATGAAATATGTTTTTTACTTATTGACATTTCAATGCCATGGCTACCTTAAAGTTTAAATCAATTAAATCTATCACAGATAGCTATGGGTGCCTCACAAAGATGTAAATGTTTTAATATGCTGCTTTTCTACATATTTCATGCATATGTACTTTTCAGTATAGCCATTTTAATGGATACATGTATGTTACCTGGATGCACCAAATTTTAGTGTGCCATTATTATAAAAGAGTAAATCCAAATAAATAAATAAAATCTGAAAATTTCATTGTGGGGATGTTTTAAAGCTAGTTTACCGAAACAATCCACACATTAAATATATTTAATTGTATTAGATAGAGATAGTTGAAGATTCATGTCTTGTGCACTTGATGACCTAATTTTGAATGCCATCAACTTAAATATTGATAACTAAAGTTTCAAATAACGGATTAGACTGTAGTTGAAAGTGAATTTAATGATTAATAGGAGGGGGGGGGGGGGGGCAACTTAAGCAATAGTATTTGATTTTTTAACTGCTTTACTAAACAGAGATATGCATCAAATGATGATATGCATTTAATACCCGATATTCATTATCTTCTATAGACAAGATAGACCCTCAAAACATACTTTCTTGCACTCTAATTACATCTACAACTGACATGTATTGTACATGTGATAGACAAGTTCATTCTAGTGTAGTATTTCATAAGTGATCATGCACATTCATGTGACAAAGATAACACCAAGGAAGATGCAATTGCTTCCCAATTAAAATGTTTGACCCCTGAGAAAAAATAGAAAAAGATTCAGACAATTTCGGCTCTATATCTCTCATATATCCCTACTGTAAAAATACAAAATTGACAATTTTGAGTTTCTTTAACTCCAAACTTGTTCTTGTATTAATTCCCATTTTGATGAGCTATTTATTTGGTTCATTGGTGTTCTTCATATCTTGTAAGGGCTCAATTGGGACATGACATTTATCTGAGGATGGGTTGGGAATGACCATGTGTACAACAAGATGCAATGCAATATCATGCAGAGATAAAAGTAAACCTATGAGTAAAATATAACACGAGTCATGTTTTAAAGACAAAATAGAGTGGAACAGACTGAAGGTAGTGAGGAATTAAATGAACAGACGTGAAGCTGATGATAAAAATTGTGTAAAAACACCAGAAAACAAGACACCTCAGTCAAATTCTGGAGAGTTATAGATGAAAATATGCATGAGCAGACGGATTTTTAACAAATGGTAGAAATAGGGGTGAAACCCCTTTATATAGCCCACATCTCTGGATAGTTCATTCACAATCCTAAACAACCATGAAGGTTTTGGTGATCTTAGCAGCCTGCTTGGCTTATGCCCAAGCTGAAGTTCTATGCAACCTCTACGGAGGAAGCTGTGGTGGCTCATGCTACAAGAAAATCAACATGCCAGGACTCTGTAACGGAGGACAACAGTGTTGTACCAAGGACACAATCTGCGGAGACAAATATGGAGGAACCTGTGTCGGTGCTCTCGCTCCCTGCCTAGGAGGTGGACGATTCGTAGGAAAGAATGGAAATATCTGCTCTACCGCCACTGAGGTTAGTAATAACTCTTTTTAAAATAAGGCTTGCATAAAGGTATAGTTGTTATGGGAACAATCTTACACTGCAAATTGATTATTTTTCTGGATTAATCAAATGAACAGAAATTCAAAATTTCAAATTTTAGGGTTGGGTTAAAACCAAAATTCATTTTTGTCTTTTTTTATTGATATTTCAATGTTATGTGATCAGAAACAGGCACCCAAAGATGGGAACTTTAAGAATGAAATCAATTCATATTGAGAGATGAATCACATGGTGTATATTTGAAATATTTGCTTCATCTAATTCTACAAGAGATTTAAAATTAAATCTGAATCACCCAGGGCTGATGTGTCACTTGAACAAAATTCCAGTATGCCTGTCTCAAGGGAACAACCTCAAAACCAACAAAGATTGTTACATTTGTGACATGGCTATTCCAAAATTCAAAATAGATAACTGGTATATGATGTTCCTCTCTTTTAGGTATGCTGTATCCCTAATGACAAAGTCCCCACCTCAACTACCATCCGCCCCACAGGTGCTGGGCCCACTTCTCCACAAAGAGCAAGTGGTGCCCGATGTGGAGTGAGCAAAGTTGGAGGCAGCCGTATTGTCGGAGGATCCAGGGCTTCCCGTGGTGCTTGGCCATGGCAGATCTCTCTCAGGTCTTTCGGACAGCACAGCTGTGGAGGATCCATCCTGAACGAGGAATGGATCTTGACTGCTGCACATTGCTTCCTGTCTTCTCCCTGGACCTGGGCTTACACTGTTAGAGTAGGAGAACACAACCAACAACGTAGATCTGGCAGCGAGGTTGATATTGAAGTTGCTCAGATCATCAAGCACCCAGACTACTCTGGAGCTGATCCATCAGATCCCCATGATATTGCCCTCATCAGACTGGCCAAGCCAATTAACCTGAACAGCAACCAAGTCAACACCGTATGTCTCCCCAAGGCTTCTGATAACTTCGTCAACAACAGGAACTGCTATGTAACTGGCTGGGGACAACTCGGAGGCAACCTCGCTCCCGCCCAGACCCTTATGCAGGTGAAGGGACCCGTTCTCACCAACGACGACTGCAACTGGAAGTGGCTCTTCAAAATCCAAAGTGGTATGTTGTGCTTCGGAGGTGGCCCAGTCGGAGCTTGCCGTGGTGACAGTGGTGGCCCTCTGGTGTGCAAACAGGGAACAGGATACGTACAAGCTGGTGTCGTCTCCTGGGGATCTGCTGCCTGTGAAGAGCAGCCAACCGTATTCACCCGTGTCACTTCTTACCTTCCCTGGATCAGGAAGTACGTCAAGGGAGTCTAAATTTCATGTACCACTTTTTATGTAATAAACAAAATTGAAATAATTTATTTGAACTTTCTCTTCAGTCATTTTTTCATTTGTTAAAACACCATTGTTGTTTCCTAGATAATCCTTAAAATGTCTGTAGTACCTCACATTGATATAAGATCTTGAACCAAGTTTAAAATTGACCAGTATATCAAATGTAATTCATTTCAATATTTTATTTTATTATATCCTGCTATAGATACAATACCAGACTGCCATCTTTTAACAGAATTGTTCACTTCTAATACATCTTCATATTAACACTGACCATGAAAAAATTAATTAGACCTTCTGACAGTGATATATCACTATAACTAACATTCCTAGAGTTCACACTTCCATTTTACAACCAAATAAAAAAGAAAAAATAACATTTCAGTAAGTATTTGACATAGGCTGTCAGCATAAAGCGCAGACCACGTCAAGTTTTATCAGACCACTTGCTGATAACCTTTAATAAATATTTTTATCCAAGGAGTCTTTTTTACATCTCTGGACCCTCCATATCTAAATTGATGAGATAATTCTTATTCCCAGGGCAGGGGGTCTTTAATATCTTATGTTTTGAAGCCCCTTCCACCTTTCCTGAATAGACTACCCATTTACAATATACCTACCTGAGATTTTCTATGTTGACCATATTAGGATCATCCTCCCCATCCTCAGCTTTCAAGACAGCCTGAAACAATATATCCCATAATATCTAATAATACATCCAATAACATTGCTCATAATGTTTCAAATGCAGCCAAAAGTGTCTTAAAATATACATCCCATTATACCACAAATAGAGACCATAATAACTGAAATACATCACTTATTCAAACGCGTACCATAATGAAGGCTTCTCTTCATATGTAAATATTTTCAAAAACTACACATTTTACATTAGACTGTCTACCTTTCTCTGTAAATGACAGTTTTCATACAGCCATAAATGTAATATTCACTTTATTAATTGTATACCATCAGATATTATAGGCCACAATAGGCTAGGTACATATTGTCAATTCCATTGAGAGAATATGGGAAAGTGGGGTTAGAGGGGGAGGGGGTTGTTCTCTTCTACATACCTCATATATCTGAAACTGTTCCAAAAGGTCTATATCTGCAGCACCTTTCTTTTCCATGTGTTTTTTGATTATCTTCTCAATCCCCTGTTCCTCTAATGAGTCCACCAAGTCGTAGAAGGAGTCCTGGTCTGGGATAGCATTGAGAACCTGGATAGAAAGCACAGTAGATATCAAACAAGGCATTAACATGACAAAATGTCACCACCTAGTTAGGTCATTGAAGGTCAAATGTCAAATCTTAAGTCAAATCTAAAGTCAGATTTGAATTTCTGAGAACACGTAGATGATTTTGAAAATTTTTTTTAGTCAATTTGAAGCAAGTTGAAAAAAGACCTTTTTGACCTTGAGAAGGTCATTGAAGGTCAAAGGTCAAATTCCAGTCAAATTTGAACTTCTGAAAAGATGTAGATGATTTTGAAAAAAAAATTTGGTCAATTTGAAGCAAGTTGAAAACAGACCTTTTTGACCTTTTTTGACCTTGAGAAGGTCATTAAAGGTCAAATGTCAAATCTAAAGTCAGATTTGAATTTCTGAGAACATGTAGATGATTTTGAAAAAAAAAATTAGTCAATTTGAAGCAAGTTGAAAAAATACCTTTTTGACCTTTTTTGACATTGAGAAGGTCATTGAAGGTCAAATGTCAAATCTAAAGTCAGATTTGAATTTCTGAGAACATGTAGATGATTTTGAAAAAAAAATTTAGTCAATTTGAAGCAAGTTGAAAAAAGGAAGGTCATTGAAGGTCAAATGTCAAATCTTAAGTCAAATCTAAAGTCAGATTTGAATTTCTGAGAACACGTAGATGATTTTGAAAATTTTTTTTAGTCAATTTGAAGCAAGTTGAAAACAGACCTTTTTGACTTATTTTGACCTTGAGAAGGTCATTGAAGGTCAAATGTCAAATCTTAAGTCAAATCTTAAGTCAGATTTGAATTTCTGAGAACACGTAGATGATTTTGAAAAAAAAATTTAGTCAATTTGAAGCAAGTTGAAAACAGACCTTTTTGACCTTTTTTGACCTTGAGAAGGTCATTGAAGGTCAAATGTCAAATCTAAAGTCAGATTTGAAGGTCAAATGTCAAATCTAAAGTCAAATCTAAAGTCAGATTTGAATTTCTGAGAACATGTAGATGATTTTGAAAAAAAATTTAGTCAATGTGAAGCAAGTTGAAATGAAGGACCCACGATCCTATGCTCACACAGTTTGGAATCTTCAGAGGAATTTATATCCTGACTTTCAAACAAAAATATTGATTTGGATTTGTAGTCTCGAACTTTGAGAAACTTAGATAGCATAGTTGTGTGACCTAGTTTGATGACCTTTGACCTTGAAAATTTTACTTATTCAGAGCTCAGTAAGGTCTTTTGTGATTAAGCTGACCAAAATTTACATCCAAATATCAATTTGAAAAATCAACTTTTTTTGACCTTTCGAAGGTCACTGAAGGTCAAGTAAAGGTCAAATCCTAAATCTTATGTCAGATTTGAACTCCTGGCAACTTGAAGATGATTTTCAAAAAAAAGTTTGGTCAAATTGAAGCAAGTTGAAAAATAACTTATTTCTTACTGTTTTTTGACGTCAAATATCTCAAAAACGGTAAAAATTTGATGCTGACATATATTGAAAAATATGTAGGGAATGCTTAAATCTATTAATTAAACGATGTAATTTATTGCTGGAAATGATCAAGTATAAGGCAAACTTTAAGAATCTTGTCAATCACAAAACCTGCCATTGACTTTATACATGAGAAAGTTTCCGGAAAATGATTAAGTCCTACTTTTTTTCAAATTTTATAGAGTAAACACCAAAAACCGTAATTCCAAGAGCTTTGAAATCTTCAGAGGACATAAGTTGCATATACACCAACTACTAAAAGTTATTTGAAAGTTCTACTTCAACAAAGTGTCTAGTATTTACAGAAAATTTGACTTTTTTACGTCAAAATCCGCAATTTCTCGGAAACCGGGCGAACTTGGGAAATGGCGATGATAGGTCAAATAGGCATTATGGATATGCATAAAATGAATGTGGATATGACTCAATCCAAATAGCAGTTTTAATTTGTGCGGCCAATGTTGACGGACGGATGGACGGACGGACCAACGGACGGACGGACGCCTGGTCAATCCCATAGCTCACTGTGTGAGCCAAAAAGACCTTTTTGACCTTGAGAAGGTCATTGAAGGTCAAATATCAAATCTAAAGTCAGATTTGAACTTCTGAGAACATGTAGATGATTTAGAAAAAAATTGAAGTCAGTCTAAACAGTATTTGTTAAGTTATAGGAAGTTGTAAGAAATTGTTACAGACGCCGGACGCCAACCTCCAACCATCAACCGCCGTCGCAAAAAAAACGGAGACCATAACAATATGTCACCACTTTTGGTGGTGACATAAAAAAGTAGAGGTCTTGGGTTCAAACCCAGGTCACAGCACTTCTTGTGATTTTTCTTTGACCTACGACTGCTGACCTATACCGGCGATTACTAGAGTGCTGCTAACTCGATAAAAGGCTGGTGCTGGCTAGAATTGTCTTTTGTTCTAGCCAGGATAAAGATACCAGTTCTTCAACTCGACAATGGGAAGAACTGCTCTGACTTCAGAGTCAATAAAAGATATATATAATATGATGACACAATCTATATGGAGTATTTTAAATGTAGGACCATGCAATATGCAGAACTATGCAATATGTAAAAGGAAACAGAATTTTTGGAAAAAAAGAAGTAAAATTCCCCTATTGTGACAAAGGTATAATTTAAGTAGTATTTAAAAAGGTCTGTTTTGAAGTTTTGAACCACTTCTGACTTCTAAGAAATCTTTCTTTAGTTTTCAGACTCTTGCACATTGAAAAATAATCATGGTACAATCTCAGCATTATGTAAAGCTCCAGAAATACCTCCCTGTTGTTACATTAGACAATTACCCAACTAGCCATGCTTCTAATGGTATTGAGCACTAAGTGTACCGAGAATAATGACTCCACTTACTTTATTGACAAGAGTTGAGGCATATACAAGTAGTTCAGAATCTCCTCCTTCTTTCTCATTCAGGATATTCATGATATTCACCCAAGGTTTGGCACCTGAAAAAATATGTAGAGGTTATTCACTGGGAGGGATTGAATATGGGTTTTATTCATGGAAGGTGAATACCATTTTTCCGAAAGGGATTGGCAGGTGAATCACATTTTCTTAGGAGGGAAGGGGAGGAACAATATGATTTTTTTCAATATCAAAAAATTCCCTGCCATTATTCACCTGGAAGTAGTAGTATGGGATAAATATGATATAAGCCCTTGGTTTGACATATGTAGAAACTTTTGTGATATTAGTCTACTGTTTGGCACCTGAAAATATTTGTGATATTAAACCCCAGTTTGGGAAGTGAAACAAATATTCATTATAAAAAATGCTTGGGACAGTTCAGTTGTATTCATTTGGTTAAAAATCAAGAGTTCTTCCACCAAGTCTTAATTCTTAAATTTATGTAAAGCAATTTCAAGCTGTAAAGTGATTTTAAAAATATGCGATAATTCAAATATGTTCTATATTAACGGGACCCATTTATAGACTGATAAACACAGAATGTATATGATCATTATTTTTCTGAAAAACAATTTCCAGTATATTACATACATGACATTAATGTGAATAGAATGATTAAAATTATTTGAATGTTCATCATTTTAATATGCTAACACATGTCAAAGTAAACCCTCGATTGTGGATAATAGCTAAGTTATTTCATAGATTTAAGCAAATATCATCTACTTTTTCTTCACAAAACTTATTCATTTAGGGGCGGAGGTCCATTTTCACAAAGCTGATATGTCATTTATAGGAATCATTCATTAATCTAATTTTGACCACTTATTGGGCCACCCTTATTTGCATATTTCTCTATCATTGGGAGGCACTATACAAGGATAGGAAGGGGGGATAGTGTTGGAGAGAGGCGGGGCAATGTTCATAATAGACAATGGCACCAGTTAGTGATTTCTATAAAAGCATTCCCTTCATATATTCACATCAATCATAATGATTTCAAACAATATATATCATTCATAAACATCTGTTGTATGCATACCCTTGCACAAACATAAAGTACTTAAACATGTAAATAATGTTGTGGTATGTAGTTTTATACATTTTGAGGAGATTCAGATATTTCTCATTTCTGAACAAAACTGTAACATAATCTCCATGCATTCAATTTCATTTTAATGGTTCTCTAAGTTTGATAATCGAAATGGAATTTTAGTTAAACAATTGAAATCAAGGGGTGGTTGGGTCACTGTAACTTTTAATTCCGATCATATATCATTTTCTGAATATCAAGTCACATACAGTCAATGCACGTGTATGTACATTTATAGCTTTTTAAAACACACATTTGCTCATTATTAAATATACATTTCAGGTATTTTGATTAATATTTATATATGGGTTAACCATATTGAGGTATAGATTTGGTAGATATGCAATTGCAAGTACATGTATTAATCGATTAGCAAATATAACATAATAATCCTTACCAGTATATTGACTATGAAAATTGTTTTCAAGATACAAATCTTGAATTTCTTCTCACATATATTCTCCATATTGTAAATTTTGTGACATGATTCAAATCAACTTGTGCAAGACTTAAATTTTGGTGGATCTAGTGAGAATAGACATTTCAAAAAGATCATTTGACTAGAGCTATATACGTATATCATAAAATAGTGAATATTTAGTAACAACTTTTATATTTTCACAATAGCAAGGATGAATATTAATCATTTGACTTTGACTGATGCCAAGGTTACATTTTCTAATGATTCATCGAGAAGTTGTCATGATGCTAAATGCCATCATCAAGATCTCAATTTTTCATTAGAAGGGAGAGAGACGGGGGTTGTGGATTCCCAATTTACTTGTGCTTATTGATTTGTTAAGCCTCAAACCACATGTTTGGGAAAAGCTTTATCTCAATAAACTCCATCATCAAATAGTCAATAGATCTGGCCGAGGATAACTGACCAATATTTCACCCGGCTGACCCCTGCCTGTTTACCCTATAGGTCCCTGGATATGATAATTATGGGGAAGTCTCTCTAGAATATCTAAATATGAATGCTGGAAATATTCATTTGTAAATCTGGAATTTTTGTTATTGCAATGAAAGGTAAATGAGAGTAATTGAATAAAGTTCAGGGATAAATTAAAATACAAGAGTTTTATGAATATTTTAACTGCACATGTCAAATTTGCATGGCAACGCCATAGAATCCTTGAACTATTCACTATTTATATTCACTGAACAATATAAAAAAAAACTGGGCCTTTAATTCTTAGAATCTAGAATCTAAAGCTAGGAATATTTGCGCTGTCATGACCAGTGGACTAAAATAGAATATAAAGTATTTATAACTTAACTACAGGAGATAACCACTCAGTGACGTAAAAACCTATATCATAATGCTCATAAGACTACTAAAATAAGCATATACTGCTTAAACTTAACAGTGCATATTTCAACAGTTAATTCACTCAGATACAGTGTTCTTCCTAGAATTGATCTTCAAGTGAATGGGAAATCATGACGGAAGTTTGTCAAAATATGTCAGTTGTTCATGATTTTTTCTCATTTTCAAGAGGGTGCACATGAATTTTCAGGTGGGTGAAAGGCTATTTTCAAAATCTCAAAAGGGTGCAGCACCCACTTGCTTTAATGTTGGGGAGATCACTGATATGACATAAAAACACATTTGTCTGATTCTTTGAATACCATCCTCCGATCACAGGGCTTCAAAATCCAGAATATATTCTTTCTTTTTACCCACTGCGATAAGCAGTTAGCATTTCCCCGATTAAGAACTCGCAATCTGATTGGCTCTTGCAGCACTGCGACAGAAATCATGTATAAGTCATTGCGCATAATTAGATCACATGATTCAGTTTAATCAGGCGCTTCCAAATGTTGGTTATAGCAGGGGGAAGAAAGAGGTACGGTTTCTGGATACCTGCTTAGGAGGATGTTGAATACAAGTCTATTGAAATCTAATTAGTGTCAGAATGTCAGAGAATTTCTCAAGATTTATACAAACAACAATAACAAATTATAATGCTAATAGGAGAAAGGAGTACAACCTCTACAGGTCAAATCTAGAGCACTTCACAATTGAGATGGCCTCTTGACACTTCAAAAAACAAAAAAGATTCTAATTGAAGATGTTTTATCAAAAAGAGGACAAATGACACCCATAATGCAACATTCTACCATTTTATCAGCCAAAGTTCAAGAAGTTAGTTTTCGAGCAATTTTACAATATGCAAGTTTTGCCTAGAATGCATGGCCTTGTATGTTTTTCCAGATTTCTAGTATAATATCTGAATATATTTTTATTTCTAAAACATTTAAATATTTTGTTGAAGAGTCAAAATGCACACTGAATTGTGGGTAGATTTCTCCTTCACAGAAGCACCAAGTATCTTGTTGATGTTTTGACACAAATATTTTTGTTGCTTAGTGCAGACAGGTGTCTTTACTCCCTGTTAGGGAGGTCTGTGTTCTGTGAACATAATTTGTAGAAATTAGTTTCTCGCCTAAAATATTTTGCAATTACTTTTTAAATTGAAGGGTTTTATCTCATGAAAGTGTTTTTGATTGTCAAACTGATAAAATAGGTGACCTTAAGTATGCTAATACAATTACTGGCACTAAGACCCAAATCTTAACCACAATGTTTTTCAAGGCTTGTGTACTTACTGACCAGAGTACTAATGCCTGTAATGAGCACCATTAATGGACTTCAGACTTTATTTTTAAGTGGAAGGTTATTTGTGTGAGACAACATTTTATTTATAATGATTTATAACAAGCACTCTATATGTCAGCTAAACCTCACTGATACTGACTGACTTACATTTACCATTAAACTGATGAAATTATTAAAATGAATCACTGGATTAAGGGATCAGGTCAAACTCAATGTTTGTAAAAAATATTATTTTCATTAATCATTATATAATTCCATTCCCCCTTGTATGCAATTTTAAAGGCTAATATTCACAACTTTATCATAAAATTATAATCACCAAATATAACATAATAATCAGTGCCCTCTATTGCTGGCTTTAGAATTTTTGAGCCAACTCCTATATGTTTATTGATATATAGGGCTCACTATGTTTGAGAAGTTCAAAATAATTTAGATCAGGACAAAACTGTTGCTTACCTCTGCGTTTATCAAAGTCATTAAATGCATTCAGGAGAAGACTAGTGTTAGATTCTGTGTACTCAACAAACACCAACAGCAACTTGAGTGAAGTTTTCACAACAAGACGAAACTGAAATAAACAAATGTTCGAATCAACATATGTGTATCTATGGATTAAGAAAGCTTTCAATTTCCTTTTGTCAATATTTGAATTTCTAAATAATTAAAATTGATTAAATAATCTTTATAATTTGGCACAACTGAAACAAATACACTTTCATCATAATTAATTTCTATAACTATATTTCAATATTTTCAGTTGAACACTCATAGCTAGATCAGAGGCATATTAAATTAAAAATATTTCAGAAACACTTCATGGAATTTTTAATTCCTAATTGTTCATGTACTTACAAATTTCTACCTAATTTATGAGCTGTCCTATTGTACCTTTAAGACTCTGAATTTGATATACTTGAAAGCAGCAATCTAGACACTTACTTTGGAAGCAATGAGGGAATAGAGCCATTGTAGAGTTTCAGGGTGAGCTATCACTCCATTCATGCCATCCACATAGAGCATCACTTGGCCCAGGGCTAAAATAATATACCAATAAATACAATAAATTAAGTGAAGAACATTTCATGAATCTTGAATTATTTCTTCAAGGGAAGATGATAGATGGTTGGAATTTTTCATGGTACAGCTGAGCTATTGGTTACCTTACCCATTGTGTAACAGGAACAAAAAAGTTTCATTACTATGTGTTCTTCTGAAAGAAGTACAGCAGAGATCACGGTAGACGTTCGCCATTCGCCAATTGCGAATTTTCGAAAGAGGTGGCGAAAAATATGTAAAGGTATTTCGCAGTTATGGCGAATTAGAGGTGTCACGGTTTCCCGATATTGGACCGAATTTTGGTCCAGATGCTTCGGTTCGGGACATGGGACAGAAAGGGTTAATATCGGTACATAGATTCCTTCACTAAAATGCATAAAAACATGTATAAATAGCGAGGAACACCTCCGATTTCGTTCTGAAATATTTTCACTTACCTCGTACCTAGATTACACTTCTTTGCATTGAAAAGTGTTATTAACGGACCCGCGATTTCAGGTAGATGGTAATGCTTGTTCGTAAATTTCTTCATCGTCGTTCGCAAATCTAGTGCATTATCAGTATGCCGGATGTAGGAAAGAAATTGAAAAATCGAGCCGGCATCTAGGTCGAAAAAGTCGGCAATTTGGAAGTATTTTGGGACTCCGATATCACAAGGTAAACGAATTGGTAATATTACACCGTGCAGACTATGTGAAATGCCGATCACATTCGCGGCAGATGCTTTACATTCAATTTTAATGGACGTTTTTTTATTCCTGAATATGATTTTGAAAAGTGAAACTGAAAGTGAAACTGTCATCATCAGACATTTCATCATTTTTAATGTTCTGTCCCGTCCCGAAAGTAACGTGTTGAGACCATTTGTACCGTTCCGTACCGTACCAAAATTTTCTTGGACCGTGACACCTCTATTGCGAATTCCCTTTTTTACGGTTTTTCAAAATGGCTAATTCATATTTTGGTTGGCTAAAAATATTTTGGAAGATTTAGCCACAATGGCTAACAAGTTTTTTCAACTATCGTGATCTCTGAGTACAGTATAGTGAACAATATATACAGTGAAACCTGTTAAGTGGAACATCTCTAAAAGAGGAAAACCTCTGTTAGTGAAACAATTTTCAGAGTTCTGAGACCGATTGACTTAATGAGAACTGAATCTCTATAAGTAGTGTAAAGTGGAAAATATCCTAAGTGGAACACGTTTTACATGTACCAAAGGTGTTCCACTAAAGACAGGTTTTACTGTATTCAGAACTTCAAATTTTATCATTTTTATCTATTTCATGTTTATTTACATGGCACATCTAACATTTACATTTAAAGCAGACAAAACAATACAGAGATTGTTGAACAACAAAAATCACATATTTCCTGTTCAACCTTTTTGTTACAAGCCAGTGAGGACTATTTCATGTGAGGACTATCTCATGTGAGGACTATCTCATGTATGTTGTGCTATAATAAGCATGACTGCACACATGGGTTATACACTTATGTTCATGCATGGCTGGGTAACTCTATCTACTCTACAACTCAGAGACGGATCTGGAAAATGATAAAGCCGGGCCAAAATATATTTGATTAAATTAAGGCCAGTTTTCCATTTGTAAAATGAGTCTTAAAACGAAAAATAAATTCTGGAAAAAAAACAGAGGGGGCCAGATCCGCCAGAACACGGATTTAACTGAACCATACCTTTTGCCACCTAACCAATGTGTGCCATATGACCCCATGAAGCACGAGTGCATCTTTAAAATTATGAAACTTCAGAACCAAAAATAATGTGGGAAACAATGAATCAAAATATGACAATTTATCTGAATTTTCTCATTTTCAAGGCTGGGTGAATATGGGTTTCCAGATGGTTGCAAACCCATTTTCAAAATTTCAAATGGGCCCAGTACTAATTTGCTTTAAAACTGGGAAGATCATTGTCATTTTTGGTCCATACAGTTTCAGAATTTTGAGATTCATCTAGACAAGAACATATATAACATACCATTGACTGTCCATTGATCCACTATGGAATCTGGTTGCATCAAAATATAACACCATCATATGGTACAAGTGTGTATTTCAAATATTATACCATTACTTTATGGTACAAACAATCATTTAATGGTTCAAGTAATGGTGCGAGAGTGTATTTTAATATGTACAACACAATAATAAAGCACAAATGTATATATCACGCCATTTAATTGTGCAAAGGTGTATATTAAATTAAACACTATCATGTGTATATGTTACAAGAGTTTAGATTATACCATTGTACAAGAAATTCATCCATTGAATTTAACCATTATATACAACCCAAAAGTTGAACCAAAAGCATTTAATGAAATAGTTATCATTTACCAGAAGTCTAGCACCAAATCTTGGGTCTCCTATATCATTACCAAAACTAATAAAAAAAGAGCATGGGGGATTTGCTTTATGGAGAAAAACAATGAATTGAATTTTAGAGAAAAATTGTTGGGATGTCAGGCTTGCATTCATCCAATTCAACAACAATATAAGATAATCTGAGTGAGTCAATGAGAAGTTATATACAATGTCAACATATCAGAAATCTCTTATACGCACTTTACACGTTTAAAAAGTATTATCCTCACACAGATTGGCCGGACAGTATAACCTTCAAATATTTCCTAAACCACCTAACAATTTAATGTATACTCTCGCCACATGTCAATATTTTTAGTCTAGCCGCAAGTCCAGGTGACCCTATCCCACAACCTGACTACACAGGTATGCAGTGGGGGGGGGGGGGGGGGCTTGTAACTAGACAAAATATTTTACACCTTTTCAAGAGCATGTATATTTTCTTGTTATCTATTATGTTCATTCTAGACCAGACAGGATTCTCAATGTATGGTGAACATGAATAGTGATCATTTTACAATATATCAAAAAATAGCATTTCCTTTGAAAACACCTTTATAAGTACTTTCTATATATGTAAGATAACTCATGATAACGTTTAATTAAAATGATCGGTAATTAAAAGTCTTATATCAGCCATTGATAATCCAAATGCATGACGCATGCTGACTGTTGACAAAATGATACTATAATCTAGCTATAATACACGCATCTATGGGGTCAGTACTTGACTGTGTAAATGTTGGAGGATGTGATTTCCCTTAATCAAGTGTTTGAGATCTTGTGATCAAATATAGACATAAGTGTCAATATTAAGTGGGCATGGATACATGTAGCAATACACATGTATTGTAAATAAGGAAGTTGTGTAAGGTAATATAATATGATGTTCTTGTTTAGTTTCATAGTTGTAATTATAGTCAGTCTTGGGCATAGCACCCCAAAACATGGTAGATGATATTAAGATTAGTGAGTGAGTCACAGCACCGAAAATCTGCACAAAATTTCCCTAGATTGGAACAAGAGGAAGTGAACATACATTAACCATAAAGAAATGGGTTATTGGTATTTTTCACTTCATAGAAGAAAATATGGGGGTTAAATTCTGCAACATGATATCCCAAGATATCAGATTCATTCAAATACTTGTACATCGTAAGATTAAGATTTGACCAGTAAAAGACGTTCACCTTAAAATAAAATGAAACATTCAGTCTGCTGAAATTTGGCCAAAAATAGCCAAGGCATCCTGTTGATAAGTTAAAATAATCATAACATTTGAGACAAAATGAAATGTTGAACAATAAATTACATGTATGACTAAATTGACCAACATTTTAGTAATGTGACCTTAAAAGATCAATTGCTAAAATTGAAAATTACTTTTCTAGGTGGTCTTTTGCGTCATGGCCAAGAAAGAGTCCTACTTGAGAATCATTTTTGCAGTTTTTTCCCCTTCATTTATATGTATGATTTCTAGGAATTGTTATCTGTGCTTTCAAAAAGTTTTACTAAAATTTGAAATTCAGCTAGCATTGTATATTACAGTGTGTATTATCTTCACTACAGATATGGTCTAATGATAGGGAGGGGGTAACAAGTTTTGACACCTGTACGTCCTATTATCATACTGTCCATTATGAATATTCATCAAATTACAAGAAGTAATCTCATAACACAAGCACACACGTTAAACATGCTTGTTTTTTGATTCGCTATAGTATACATGTGCATATTTGAATCACTATACGTTCACACTGATACAAGGTCAATGTCTTATCTATACATATATACTTAGTTATTTAGGACTTATCTAATATGGACAATCTCGCTGTAAAAGCTGAAGTTTTATCATGGGAATCAAATTATAAGCAAAGGAGGTTTAGTCTAAATTTCAGCTTGAAACAATGAAACACTGCTCAGTTCATAGAAAATATTCTTTATTTTGTGTTTTTGTCACATGGTGTTGAGAAAAAAAAAATTTTCCTTCATGACAACATACCAAAATTTGATTGTTTCAAGAATGGGCCGATTAAGGGGTAAATCACACAAGGGCAAGAATCGAAGCAGGCGACTTACCTCGTAAAATATAGTTCTGGTAGTTCTGATCAGCTTCAGAGCCGACTTTAATGAGACACATAAGTCCATCATTGTTGACAAATTCATGAACCAGGTCTTTGTCATCCTACAATAACAAACAAAACATACTGTTAAATAATATTGCAACATGGTTTAAGGCATTAACAAGACAAAATGTCACTACCTGGGAAGTTATTGCATTGTTACACATTTGGAACAATTTTTTATAGAAACAGTCTATACTGAATGGTACATCCTGGGGCCAAGGGTATTTCACTCTTTCCATTTTTGAACTGAGCAATAAATGAAGACCTTTGAATGAAAGATGGAATGGTAGCTATAACAACAGTTCACCACTTGGTTATGCCTATATAAATAGCTTGCTCCAGCTTCAATAAAATCATTTTAATAGATTTATAATTGCTTTTTGACGACATTGACTGATGCTCTCCTGGGTAAGTGGGTTTCAATCAATTAATTTTATTGGTCATCAAATCTCTGATCTCCCCAGCCCCTAAATTGCCCAGCCTATTTTAGAACAGAGAATGGAGGAGGGACACAGGAGCTTGGTGCAGGACTACTTCTTTCGTTGGATGGATTCAGGTGGTGAAACTTCATCAAAACAAGAAATAAACAAGGCAAACATGCAAAATGTCACCACCTGCCATTTGTTACAGATACCAATAGCTGACCATCTACATGCCAAAGACCATCCACAAAAAGTTAGACTTTAACAGTATGTCACCATTTTGATCATGACATAAAAAGCTACATTCATAAATGATCAAAAGTGTACATGTATGTCTTAAATCTAAACATTTTGAAGATTAGAATTCAAATCAGAATTCTGCATCACAACTATTCTATTACTGTACAAAGGACATTCCTTTAAAAATTCCTCAGTTCTGATAGAATTTCACTATCAATATGCTAAATGTCAACAAGATAAAAGGTGAAATTTCTCTAAAATGTTCAGAACATGGACCTAACATGTAGAACCGATCTGGCTTTTGTCACAATGAATAGTTTTCAAATTAAAACTGAATGTCATAATGTATGTCATAACAGTCTTATAATTTTAGTTTAACATGATTAATATTTGCTGTTTGGGCCATGTGGTAATTTTGAAATTCTGCTACCTTCGACATAATTTGATTCATAAGAAATAATATCACTATCAATTAAGAATGTCTATACAAATATATGTATAATGCCACTGATGAATGCAGTTCTACAAATGTTGCGCCATGCGTTTAACACCCCTGTCTCACATCATCAATCACATGTGTAGATCAAGAGACCCAAGATATCATTAGCCAAATTCTTTCTCTCCGTTTGTCTAAACTTCTTGAATTTCTTGCCAATTTCACTCTTTTTCACTCTAATTTGCATTTCAAAATATGACCATGATGACATTTAGTGCTATTTCAGGATTGCTATATCACATCAATGTTTTGAAGATAATGATAACAAGAATGTAAACATTAATGAAATCTTGTTATATATACACACACCACAGTGATTGTTACAATACAGATAAGCATTATCTAAACAATACAGTCCATGACATAGCTCCAAAGATTGACATATTTTAGACAACCTCTCAAATCATCAATACGACCAAGTACCATGATTTGCTCTGTTATTGTGAGAACGTTTAATTTTCAAAGGGATAAAGTGATATGATATGGCATATTTAAAACATGATTTATTTAAGAAAATCTTTTCAGTCAGAATATAAATTCGAGTATCTGATTTCAAAAAATTCTAGAGACTGTGTACCGGACAACTACCAAACCTTACAATTTCATCTAAGCCCTATTCAAATTATGTAAAATGCCCTGGGGTAGACTGGTAGAGTCACGCGGTACAAACTTCGACCGTTAATTTGAATTTTTGACCTACCGGATGTTTGAAAATCAAGGATTACGAGTCTCATACTGCACCGTTTTTCTTCAAACTTGTTCCATTCAAAGCATCACAAAAATCCCTTTCTGATGGTACATTATTCTCTTAATCAGAGTCCCTACTTCCAGCGGCATTTTGGTCCCCAGCTGTAAGAAGGCCTTCTAACAGCTGGGGACCAAAACGCTGCTTGAACGAGGGACTCTTTACAATAAAGTAATGCACAGACAGAAAGGCAATTTTGTTTTGCTTTTAATGGTATAAGTTTGAAGAAAAACGGTGCAGTATGAGACTCGTAATCCTTGATTTTCAAGCAGCTGGTAGGTCAAAAATTCAAATTAACGGTCGAAGTTTGTACCGCTTGAGAGTGTTGGAAGGGGGTATACCTCAAAAATATGACACAGGAATCATCACTATGTGTTAGATAAAACTCTAGAAAGATTTAATATTTTGATCAGGTATAATGCACGAAGGGCCAAAGATTATGAATAGTCATGACATACACAGGCAAGATTCATTCAACAATTCACAGGCTATTCAAAGATAAAAGTAGAATTTATTCTAACATTGGCACTATCAAGTTTTACAGCGAAACTGAGATCTATACAACTTTCATAAACAAGAGAACATGAGATTTCTACTCATTATAAAGACAGATTTGGAATATGTAGTAGGTCATTATGTCTTTTTTTGAAAATTAATATGGAATCCATACTATTTGAGATAAAAATACAGTTAATCAAGTGATAAGAGAATAAACTTTAGCAAGTTCAAGATCAATTTATATGGCCTTTTATTGCAATTGCTTTATCCAACATTTATACTGAATTGTTTAGGGAGGGGGAGGGGGGGGCTTCATTATATCCAGATAAGGATAATCAACCTCAAGTAGCCCCCTCCCACCCCCTTAACTAGACCATCATAGTTCATGTTCAGTTAAATTTCACTTGTCGTAAAATCTGGAGCTCTCTGATATTGTGAAAGCCCATCATGGTTAAAGACGGGTGTGTATATGTGGGGAGGGGGGCAAAATAAGGAAAAGTGAGTCAATGACTTAATTATTGTGGGAGATCACAACCTTTGACCACCTTTCTAAAATTAGAATACCAGAATGGAAATGAAATGACTTACCTGAAAAATTTGTTTGAGAGAAAACAAGGCACGTCTCAGTTCTCTGCCACTTGCATTTAGAAGTTTCTCTGCAAAACACAAAACACAAGTTGAAGGTAAAGATTGGATTATTTAGAAAACAGACTTAATACATTAACACTTGAGACAACAATTGTTTTTAAGGATTTAAGTACAGTATATGTAGCAACAGCACACCAAATATTGAATAAAATATAACTGTTCATTTTTTCAATATTGTATGTGCATAAAACTTGGCATAGAAATAGGTGTGTCAGACTCTTAAAACTTTCTTGATGGTTTGAGTCATGCACTTTATCCATTATACAGTTATAACGCTACTATACTATTATAAAAAATAATGCATATATCTGCCTACACAATGTACTTTAAACATCATCTCGGCACTGTTATTCCATATCCAATCTATTTTAAGGTAGATTCATATCAGGAGTCACTGGCGGACACAGAAGAATTTTTGGGCCCCTAAATCCAACAATTGGGCCCAAATTTTGAAAATTTAAGGCCCATTTTTGATAATCTGGCCTAGCTAATAAATGATGAAAAAGGCCCACTAATTTAGATCCTACAAATTAATGCACAAATACCTTAGGCTGTAAAAATGAATGCCTACTATTATCACATTCACTTTTTGCAAATTCTATTTTTCTAATTCTATTTACATGCCAAAGTGGAATATTTTACTTTGCTGTAGGTAGATCAGTGTGTCCTAAGAATGGAAGTATATCAACATACAGATGAATGGGAAACTCAGTGAAAATAGATTTGAACATGTGTCCTCTACTCAATGTGTACATTAGGTCTATTCTATTGTGCATCCGATTCCTTATCAATAAAGTCCCAGACATTTAAAACTACTAAGTACATGAACTAGTTCCTAAAGAGTGAATATCAAATGAATACAGTAAAACCTGTCTAAAAGGAACACCTTTGGTACCTCTAATAAAAAGTGTTCTATTTAGGAGGTGTTCTACTTATATAGGTTCATACAATATTAAGGCAATTAGTCTTGGGACTCTGAAGTGTTCTACTTCCAGAGGTGTTCCATTTTACAGGTTTCATTGTAATCTAATTTATTCAGGTAAAAAATCTTTCCTAATCTTATTTAAGGATGTGAAAGAACATAACAACTTCAGAGAGGAACAATATACAGGCCTTGGTATAGAGCATTAATTTTCTTCTTGCAGGCGAAAAAAATCCTTCCAGATCATACTGCATTTTTGCTCTCCAGATTTGAGGCAATTTTATAAGGACTGTGAACTCAAAAATTATCTCATCTGTTTCTCAAAGTTGAAGCTTTATTGGAACTTTATTAGTCAGAGTTCTAATCCAAGAAATATGCTGAAAGTTCAATGACATCAAAAACCTGACTTTGATGCTAAAAATATCACTAAAAACATTAACCCTGTCTGTTTTTCTAATCAATTTAAATACAGGTAACTGACATACGTACGGAAAATTCCTGGCGTCACAATTCTACAATTAACATCTAAAGGCGGCAGTTACAGATAACTTCGCATTTAGAATAGTATTGAAGATTAAGTCTTGGAGCGAGGATCTTTTTGGAGGTATCTGATACTGATTTACAGGTAATTTCAAGAAAATTATTTCAAGGAAGTATTTATCATCTCTTAAAATACTTCATATTGGCTAATTTTGGAATACCTGGACATGCATGTTTTTCAACAGAAAATGTGAGGAATATTTCAGTTCTTACCATAATTATGAATTTGATGCTCTTAATACAGATGCAGTGAAGCCTGTCTTAGTGGAACACCTTTGGTACCTTTAAAAAGTGTTCCACTTTGGAGGTGTTCCACTTATAGAGGTTCATTCAACATCACATTAGTTGGTCTTGGGACTCTAACTGTGTTCTGCTGATAGAGGTGCTTCACTTTTAGAGGTGTTCCACTTTCAAGGTTTCACTGTTATCTTTTGTTATTGAGACTTGTAAAGAATAGTCATATGAATATATGACATTTTCCCATCTCCAAACGGGAATGTTAATGCAGAGAAAGACCAACCAAACCAACCAGAGCTCAGCAAAAAACCTGACAACAGCACCAGCATTGATTCAATCCCAAACATTACTAAACCTCCAACCCTCTTATAAGCATCAACTTTTCTAATACGAATCGAATAGACATTTTTTCATGTTTCCATTTTATGTACGATATCAGGCTATCAACTATAAGTGTTCTATGAGTCAACAGTTATGTCCTTTTACAATAGGAACATAAGAATAAGAGTTCAAATAACATGCATTCATATTAAGAAAATATGTTTATATAGATAGGTTTTACTGACATGAATATGTGAACGAAAAGTAAACACTAAACTGAACAGCCAAAATTGTTCACATCTGGAATTGCATATGAACAATGTTAAGAGATTTCTGGGGGAAAAGATTACACAGTTAAGGGCTTGCTATAAAGGTATATGATTTTACCTGCTTTTGCCTGCATTACCTGTTTATTCAGGTATAATAAAACCTGAATACTGAACACCTCTCAATGTGAACCTCTTTCTTAGTCCCAAATTTGTTATCCCCCATTGACTTGTAGTTTGTAAAACCTTGAAACATGAACATCTTCACCATCTGTTACTTTGATTACTTTTGACCAGTCCAAGAGGTGTTCAGATTAGACAGGTTTTACTATATATGCAAAATATAGAACATTGAGGATATAAGGAACATGATAGCAGTTCACCTGAGTCTAAACCATCTGTATTCTATTTGCAGTTGTATCCCTACTGTGTGTACTCATCTATGTACTAATCCTGCTAACCATTCATTCAATCACATCTTTGCTTTTAAATCTAGAAAGTCAAACCCAAACAAGGAACAACCTGACCCTTCTATGTTTTTGTCTCATCGGAAGACTCTATTAGACTATTTGATTGAGCTATTTTGTATGTTTTTATAGCAAGCTGGAATCTTTCCTGAATGAATCATATTTTTTTAATAACGGGAGTTGAAATCAAAGAATGTTTGACAATATTTATGTACCAATGAAAGCTATTTTCACAAAATGATGAATAAAAATATAATTCAGTGAAACATTACTTGTACTTGTAGTGATTTTGTTGAGTCAGAACAATGTTTTTAAAATAAATAGAAATTAGTTGGAGGGCATTCTGATTTATCAGAGTCTCTCTTTTAACCAAAGCTATTCCAAGGGATGATGGAGACTGCGGATCCCACAATGGGTGGAGGGACACGACAGGAGACTTGAATAGTGAAAAGGCTGAATGTGTTTTGTTTCCTCAGTGCTTTAGCTGAATAAAACACTTGGAAAGTTCAAGGGACTTGGCTATCAGTAGATACTCTAATAAAAAAGGTGTTTTGATCCAGTTGAGGAATTCAAGCTGTTCTCCACCAAAATATAAGATAAGACCAAATATACTGTTGTAAACAAGCACTTTCCTAGTTGTTAATTCAATCACCAACTTTTCAGAGATAAGAAAAACTCAAAACTCAACCACCTGAATGACACATCTAACAAAACTCAGTCAAATGCACAGCTCAGAAAAATGGCTCGCTGATTTCTTTTTATTTATCCAGGGCCCACTTGGTCAGGACTTCTTTGTACCTAATATAAGCAAAGCAGTACAATTTCACTAAGAATAATGAATTGTGTATATAGTTGTCCCAGATTTTCAATTACATATCAAAAGTACTTTTTACCATTTAAATAACATCAGTTGTAACATCAGTTAAATATATGGGTTTAAAGTTAAAATGCTCCATTATGTTTTACAGTTAACAATAGAAGTCTTTTAAATGGGCTAGAACATTAAACAAAGTATTTCAAATATTTGAAAAAGAATCAAACCTGTGTTCACAAAAGCTACATTTGGAATGTTAAACAGACAAAAAGTTAAACATGTAAAGCGTACACTTGATTTACCCAGCTCTAAGGCAGTGGTAGGCTTTATTTACATTTGATTAAAAAAATAAATGATAAGGTTGTTTACAAGGAACAGGATGACCTATAACGGTGATTTAAAATTACAGATGTTTTATGCATAAGTTGGCCCAATTCAAGTTATCTTTTTTGCAGTGATCTCAGTTGAAAACGATAGAAAAATGAGATATCTTCACCAGATTTTGACATTTCCTATTCTGAAACTTGGCAAAACAAGGCATTAACATGCAAAATGTCACCAACTATTATTTGTTACAGATGTCGAACATTGAATGTTACTGCCGTCACAAAAAATGGAGTCCATGTAACAATATGTCACCACCTTTGGTAGTGACATAAAAAAATATTTTGAAGTGAAGTTTACATCAATCAAAGGGTCTTAATACTGTAAATAAATAAAGTACATGTTTCTCTTACTGACTCTTTTTTATGCCATAGAATGACATAATATATGACTTGAAACAATGAAGTCAATCTTAATGGCCCAGTTGGGACAGAAACTATACCAAAGTGTTGAGATCAGATTTGTTCGTAGACTATACTTAAAGGTATGGTAACCCTTTAATAAACATACTATTCACTCTGTAAAAACAGTGATGTAATTGATATACAAAACATGCCACGAATAGAAATTCCATGAATAGAAATTCCACAAACTCAGACTTGAAATGACTTCATAAAAAAATTAATAATAAACTCTATATTAGTCGACACGATAACCCGTGATTGCATCGCCCAGTAAAACATAACACTTGAAAATATATTAATGAAAAGTGTATAAAATTGTAGATGAAAGGAGTTTGATATTAAAGATATGCCAATCAGTATTATGGGGCTTTAAAGTACCCAAACAAAGTGAAATTGAACCATACTTCAATGGTAACTTTAAAACACCAAAATATCCCAACTTAAAGTCTATGTAAAGAACTGAATTCTCCACTTTTTGTTTTGCATTTTTTGCATTTTTTGTCTCAGAACGTCAGTTTGAATCACGAACAAATTACACACACGCTTTGACATGTTTATTTATGTTGACAGTTATATGGTTACACACTCTTTACAAAGGTGTAAAATATGACTGATGGGTTTAATTTTAAAAATGCAATAAAAAGTACTTTTAC